CAAAGTATTAGAATAATTAAACAACTTTTACAAAGATGGAAGGACTTGCATTGCATATAAGATAGAGGACTAAATGTTGCAAAAGTTTTATTTGAAATATGAAGTCTAAAAATTATAGAATACATCAATAGATGAATTTCTACAAAAGTTTATAAATTGAGGGTAGTTGGCATTTTTAAGTACAACTAAAAACATCAATATTACATTTAATGTATATTTTGATAAAGAAGTAAGAATTTTTAGTAGATTGAGTCATTTCAACCTCAACAAATATTTTTGTGTTTTAAAAGATGTTTCAAATAATATTGAAGTTAATACAAATAGAATATTTTACTTAGTTACAAAATAAAAACAAACAAGCTTAAGGAATATATTAGAGAAAAAATTATTAATAATATTTATTTTATATTATAGATTAAATTTCAAGAAGTATATATTATTTGCAAAATATACAAATTGCTTAGTGTGATCTAAAGCTTAAAAATATCTAGTTAATATTATATAAAACAAACTTATAAACAAGATCATTCCATATACTTTTGTTAAATTAATTAACTTTAGAATGTCATAAATTGATGTTAGGAAAAAAACATCTTCTTGGGCATATGTTATATTTTTATATTGATATGTATTTGATTGGTATGTTGAAAGAAAGAGTGTTACAAATGTAGACCAATATTAAAAAGAATTTAGTAGAAGATGTAAATTCTATATTAGATACATTAACTTAAAAATTATTAATGACAATAAAATTGGTGGAAATATAGATATTCCTGGTCAATTAACAAGACATGGGCCAAAAGATAGTTGAAATTAAAAATTAATATAATGAAATACAAATTTAGAATATGAAGATTGAGCCAATTCATAAATTTACAAAAAAGGTATTTTACTTGATTCTAGTTTATATAAAGAGTTTGAAATTAATATTCTAAAACAAATCAATATGTATAGACATATATTTATATTATATAGCTTACATCATATATTTTTAAAGATATTGATGTATTAAAATATATTTATTTTATAATAATTTAATAAAAAGATATATTAAGATATTCTAAACTACTATTTAGTTTTATATTGTTGTATTATAATTGAAAGGAGTATTTTATTGCAATCAAAAAATCATGTTTAAGAATACTAAAAAAAATTTGTTGTCTTTCTTTGGTTGATGAAGTATGATGTTAATGAGAATACACTAACAAATTTAATTGAAAGATTAAGAATGGTTATTATACTAGTCAAATATAATAAACAATCTTTTTTTTCCAAATATTAAAATTTAAATATAATTCTATAAAGATCTTTTAAAGATAGCAATAAAGATGCTACTTAATTAAATAAATAAATAAATAAATTAGAATATAAAAATTTCTTGCACTTCAAAACTTATAGTTTTACAAGAAAAATTTTAAATATTTTATTCTAAATTTTTTGCATTATTAGAACTTATTTTATAAGAATTTTCAAATTTGACATCATTTCCAAATGAATTAGGAAATCTTACATATTTAACTCATCTCAATATAAATAATTGTTCAAGGTTGAATTCATTATTAAACGAATTGGGAAATCTTACATCTTTGGCTTATTGTAGTATAAAAGATTATTCAGAATTGACATAATTTCCAAATAAATTAAAAAAATTATTGGTTCTTTGACTCATTTTAATATGAATAATTTTTCAAGTTTGACATTATTGCCAAAAGAATCAAAAAATACCTTAACTTTGATTTATATTAATTTAAAATAATATTCAAGCTTAATTATTGTTACATAAATTAGAAAACCATACATCTTTGACTTAGCTTAGTTTAAATTTTTACTTATATTTGACGTCATTATCAAAACATTAAGAAATCTTATATCTTTTATTCATATTAGAATAAATTATTGTCAAATTTTGATATCATTTCTATATAAATAGAAAAAAATTACATCTTTGATTCATCTTAGTTTAAATTGTTCTTTAAATTTGACATTATTTCTAAATGAATTACATCATCTTATAAAATATAATAAAATTAAAATGATTTATTTCTATATGAATTTTTTAAATACTAAAATTAGTACTAAATTAATTAAATGGTCTCAAATTTTTTATTTATCTAAATATAAATTTGATAATGAATTTCAGAAGTATTTCCAAATAATTTGATTAAGGTTTACATTATTGATTTTTCTTTGTAAGGATAAAAATATACTTAGAAACTACTAACAAATAGAATAAAATGATCATGTATGTTTAACTTATATAAGTATAATTACTACATTATTTTTTAAGATCTTCTTATTATTAGTTATTTTTATCCTTTAATTATGTCATTGTATAATATTTTTTATTTAATGTTCTAACTACTATTCCGAAAAATCACAATTTTTCAATTTTTATATTCTATTATCATATTAATTTATTTTTTATAAGCATCCAATACATAAAAGCAATTTAAAAAAATAAGTTGGTACTTTTAAAAATTGTTGTGATTTAGGTTGTTTAATAGTTTGATTTTAATTAAAGATCTATAATTTATCATATTATAGAATATTATATTATATTTTATATATGTAATTATATAAATTTTTTATTTTTTATTTTTTAATTGCATAATTGAGCTCAAATTAAATAAATGAATATTTAATAATTGATAAATTTGAAAAATATTAAGTATAAGAATAAATAAGTAGATAAATTGAATATAATAATGTATTATATTATGTTTTTTTAAAGAGATGATTAGAATGAATTTTATTAATAAAGAAGATTATGGAAATAAATAAAGTATATTGAATATCGAAAAAAATAACAAAGATATGATTGAGATTTGTTAGGTTATCAAGATTGTATCAAGAATGGAGTAGGTGGAAATGGATGCTACAAGGATTAAAAATATATATGTATATATATTATAACATGGAAAGAAATATTAGATATCATAGAATATAAGATGTAGATTCATTAATAGTGAACATTAAGTACTTATGATTTTTGAGTATATGTAGATTTCCATCTTAAAGAGTCATACTTTAAATGTTCAGATTTATTTTAATAGAAGTACTTAGTGCAACTTATTATAAATTTTAAAATAATAGAGATTAATGACAAAATTTTAATTTTAATTTAATAGTAATACAATTAATAGAAGTATTTAACATATATTAGTTTTACATTTGTTATTTTAGTAAATGGTTCTACTTATACTTGATCCATAAGACCAAAAGTATTAATTCTTTGATATATACAAAGAACTAAAGTAAAAGGAATATACAATGTTTTAAGATCTTAAGATTAAATATTTAAATATTGCATTCTTATGCTTGTTTCTTTATTTTTATAAAAAATCATGTTATGATTAATTTTAAAAATTATTAGAAATTCTTAAAAAATAATTTTTTAATTTTTATTATAAAAAGTATGTTGTGGACATAAGAATAATTAGAATTATTATACAATAGCTATAGATGTATTTTAAAATTAGATAAATGGTTACTCTAACTTATTCAAAGTTCAAAGTGATTTTAAGATTGGTATACAAATTACATAAAATTTAAAATAAAAAATAAAAAATAAAAAATAAAAATAAAAACTTTTGTTATTAATTTAGGTTTTCATATACATGTTTTTTTAATATTTTTTTTTTATAAGATCGATTTAGATTTCTTTTTTAAACATGTATTTAAAAAAAATTTATACCTAATATAAGTTTTGTATTTATACACATAACAATATGATTAGGTAGGAATATTTACAATTAATTGATACTAAGAAATTTCAAAAGATAGTAATTAGAATTTCTTTTTAAGTATTTTTTTTTCTTCTCCTTTTACTACGATTGTAAACATATTGTCAAGAAAAATCCAAAATTTTAAAATTGCAAAACTATCTCCAAATAATCCAAAAAAGAAATGTTCTAAAAAAGAAATGTGTTCTTCAAATCCAACACCAATATTTGCCACTTTTATATGTATTTCTATGCATAACACATTCACAAAGAATGACAATAATTAAAAGCATAGAAGTTACATGTACATAAGTATGATTGCATTTACATAAAAAAATGATTATATTACCTAAATTATCACATATGGATAAGATTACAATATGAAATTGAATAAGAATGGTATACAAAACTCAAATAGTTTCAAGCATAGTATGCCTAAGAAAATATTCCTATTATTACTTGTGTGGAAGTCTTCCATTTTTTTTACTTTAAATTTGTTAATAGCATTTGCATCAAATAAAAATTTAATATTGGTTGAAATAGTACCTACAATTGATTTAGAAAAACTTTGTAAAACCAACTTCTAAATTAGTTTTTATACTATAACAACTTGATGGAATTATGTTGTATGAGTCTAATTTTGTAGGCAAATCTAAGTCTATGCAAGAAAATGACATCTTAATATAATTTTTGTTAATCATGTCTCTTGATACTTCATATTTAGATTCTACTCCTATCCTTTTGTTCAATAATCTTAATAACTCCATTTCATTGTTATCTTCTTTTCCTTGCAAGGAGAATCAATTCATCACATGACTTGTATTAGATAGATATTTAAGCTCAAAGAAAACAAATGAGTAATTTACTATATATATATATATATATATATATGATAAAAATTTAATGATTGCTCAGATATTATATATATATATATATATATATATATATATATATGTACATATACATATAAGTTTAGACCAAGAGACTTGTAGAAATACGTGTAATCAACAATAATTAATTTTGAATTTTTCATATATAATTGGAAGATGTCACAACAAAAAAAAATTGTGCACAAAAAAATTAAACAAAATTTTAAATTTGCCATGTATGGTGGATCTCAAGTACAATCCAAAAAAGGACTCCATGGGATAAGAGGAATCCCATTCATTCATTTGTCCAAAAGTCGTGTTTAAAATGCCACAAATTAGGGTTTAAATACCGTCTCCTTCTCCTTTCCCTTATCCTTCGTCGTCCACCACCAACGTTGTGAAGACGCCACAGAAAACAATCAAAGAGGAAGAAGGCAATGAAGCCAAGTGGAGTGAAGCGGGACCAAGATTTGTCCATCGCTCGGGACCCGTTCCCATCGCCGGAGCTCTCCTCCCTTTGCAATTGGGACAGAGAGAGAGAGAGAGAGAGACGCAGCCACATTTGCCCAGTAAAAGCTCACATCGCCGAACTCTGAACTCTGAACTCGGAGGGTGCATTGGGAGAGAGACGGGGAGGCAGAGGGAGAGCGACACTGACTGAGATTGACAGCGAGAGAGATGGTGGCTATGTCGCTGAATTTGCAGGCCATGGTCGCGCCCGGGAGCTCGGGCCACCTCGTGCCCGCCGCGACAGTGCACCCCAATGCAGGGCTCGCGTTGTCCTCCGGGTTGTGCATGCGGCGACGGTGGCGGGCGCAGGGGCGCGGGCGGAATTGCGCTGTGGCCGCGGGTGGTTTGTTGAGATTGCCCCTGGTGTCGCCGAAGCCGAAGCGGAAGGTGTTGTTGGTGAGCGCTGTCGCGAGTGGAGGAGGCAGCGACAGCAGCGGGAATGGGGATGCGGAGAGCAGCGACGAGGTGGCGTCTGTGGAGAGTGATGCGGCTGCGAATGTAGATTCCGCTGTGAGTGTTGGTATCGTAGGAGTTTTTTGAACAATTTTGGAATCTCGGGGTTTATTGAAATTGGGGGAGCGGAGAGGATTGGAGGAATTTGTGTGAGTTTAAGGAATTTCCGCACTCGGATTCGTGACCAGTGGAGTGGTTTCGAGGGTTTTTTTTTTTTAAGACAATGTGTTGAATTATCATAGCGGGGTTTTGAGTGTATGGTTATTGGGAGGGCTATTTTGGGCCTGTCGGAGTTGAGGGTTTTAAATTTGTGAAACCGTTGCAGTACAAAAGCCGGAGAGACATGCTGCAGGAGTATGTGAAGAATGTGCAACCAGAATTTATGGAGCGCTTCGTTCAGAAAGCTCCTGCTCAGGTAGATCATTTTTGCTTCGTGGCTTTTCGGGCCGAAGCGGTTACTTGGCGCCGAGTCTTACGTGGTTCTATTGCTGTTTCCTGTTTGGCTGTGCTTATTTTCGTCATGTTTTTCTTGTGATGCTTTGGGTAGGGTTTATTCTTAAGTCTGCAGTTGAAGTAGATAATTGCAGCTTTCTGTGTATTCTACTGTAACATTAGGCTCCATCTGAGGATTTCATGTCTTTTCACGAGAGAATGGCTGGAAAGTGGAAATTCTGGTAAACTGAAGGAGGTTTAAACGGCTGATTGCACTTTGCGAAGCGTATGCTAAAATGCCGACAAGTCACATGTGTAGTATTTATCTTTTGAGTTGCCGGCAGGTAGTAGAAGCCATGCGTCAAACCGTGACCAATATGCTGGGTACTCTTCCACCGCAGTTTTTTGATATTCATGTCTCGACAGTAAGCTTCGTACTCCATGACTATCACCTTACATTCTCTAAGCTTTCGAGTGAAATGGATATATTTTGCTATAAAGTCTTCTGTAATAGTTGTTTAAGGTTAAGAGGAACGAGTCATGAATAGTACATCCTTTTAAAAAGCTACAAGTTTATGCCGATGGTTGACCATCTAATTTATCGATTCAGGCTATATATCTTCAGAAGTACAAAGCTAATACTACATCAGAATCTACTACTGGTTGTCATTCATTATGTACTTGGTCTCCAACTTATTGTCCTGAGGACGAAGTTTTTACGACATGCTTTGTTGAGGATAATAGTAAAATCAGATATGTATGGTAAGCCTGAAGAGCAGTTTTATACGCCGTCACATGGAGTGTTAGCTTAATCTGGTACTAACAGGAGTTTACTGTATTTTGAAACATTGTGCAGATAGCTGAGAACCTAGCGCAGCTCATGTACAGCGTGATGATGACTGGATACATGTTCAGGAACGCTCAGTATCGACTAGAATTGCAACAGAGCTTGAGCCTGGCCGCTCTTCCAGTTACAAGCAATGTTACAGTGAGTTATTTTTACGATTTGTTGATGCAATGTTGTATTATGATGCCGCATCATGCTGCTGATATGTGAATGTTTGCTACTTATGCAGTAGGTTAACTCAGTGACTTGTTGTTCAGTCTGACTCTAGATATGCACCCGGGACTCAAAAATCAACAGTGAGTGGAGAGGTGGTGAGATGGCGTAAAGATGAAGAAATTCCAGAGCGGGTGGATGCAGTTGAGTACATCGAGTTGCTTGAAAACGAAGTCGAGGAGCTGAGGAAGCAGCTTGAACTGAGAGGGCGTGGCAAAAACGAACTTTTGGAGTACTTGAAATCACTACAGCCTCAGAACCTGCAGGTGACGAGCCAATAACACTCATTAATGTTGGTCTCTTTAGATTTGTTGGGTGATTTTCATTTCGTATATACTGAATGGATTATCTGTAATCGATCAGAGTATTAGTGGCACCTCCAACCCTGTCCTCGTGTACAAGGCACTGGAACATGTCCAGTGTTCTTGGTAATGGAATTTGTCAAGCGTAGACTCCAGTTGATTGCCAGGTAACTAACTTTTGGTTTGTACGTTCAGGAGTTGACATCTAGTGCCGGCGAAGATGCTCTTGAGGCGATGAATACTTTTGTAGCACGTTTGATTGGAGTTGCTGAACCAGACAAGCTCAAGGTTCCGCAATACATTCTCTCATCCTGCTTTTGGGTGTCATATTGAGTCAGTAGGTTTAATAAGTCTTCTGTTAGAGAGTGTAATGGACGACGTGTAGGGACAAGGTATTATCGAACCCAGTTTATATTTGTAATTGTGGAGCGCCCCTTTTCAGAGGAGAACGACTGTAACCCTAGCATATGCAATTAATTTCTTCATGCAGCGGAGACTTCGGTTTCTCATGCCTTCTGTGTGGTATCATGTATTGAACAGAGGGCAGCTACACAAACTACTGCAGCTGAATTGGCAAGGATACTTTACTGGCTAATGGTGGTGGGTTACAGCATCCGAAATATTGAAGTTCGATATGACATGGAACGGGTCCTGGGTATGCCTCCCAAGCTCGCTGAGCTGCCACCTGGAGAGAGTTTGTAAATCAGCAACGAAATTGTGGTAGTTGGGGTTACGTAGAGCATCCATCTGCCATCAATGTCCGAGATGTAGACTAGTGTATTGCAAATGAAAATTTATCACGTTCAGAAATTATATTCCGTAGTGCTAGGTATCATTGTTTATTTAGAATTTGATACAACTGGAGTACGAATCTATTGGGAACATTTGGCTTAGTGATATTTTCAAACTGTGACAAAATGACTTGTGGCTTAACGACGTTTTCACAGATGTAAGTGTTTGGCCTTTGCCGATTATTTATCTTTGTCTAGCAGTGATCTGTTGTATGGTTAGTTGGCAATTTCAATCTTTCTTGACTCGTTCCAACTGCCACTCAGGCGACTCAACTGCCATTTTGGTCGTGTGTCCCAATTTCGCGGCCTGTAGGATAACCCTGACGAGAACTGGTCTTAAAACATGTATTTCTATTTTTAGAAAATCCTTATCTATTTCACCTCACGATAGATGAAACGAAATGATCACATCCACCTTCATTTATCATATTGCATACTTGCCTGCACTTTTGGTTTCTCCTTACTGTCACTGATCCCTAAACGTCCACTATACACTATCAAAGATGAGGTTTTGCAGGTACATCACTATATTACCATCCTGGGTGTTAACAGTGCAGTAGATACCATCTGAACATGCAATAACCTACAAACTGCAGCTTAATGCATTGATTTGAGGGCTCTTCGGCTAGGGGCTAAATGGAATGCGACAAAAAATATTCACGTGTTACATGATGTCAAATGTGGCACGGTTCTGTTTTTGCGAATTGAAAGCAACCATTCAACAACACTCACAGCATACTGATGGTTTCGATTATGATTCACAGTTTCTAAAGGTGCCACATCACAGCCTTGGAGAACTATCACTCTCATGGAAGCCTGTGAAGGATCAACGCCAATTCACAAAGCAACCGTGTTGCCCCACTGGGGGTTTAATCTCGAGAAGGACACATGGAATTTAATCCTCGAGACAGTGTTATCCTTATCGTACACATTCGGCATCAACCGTCTCGCTCTAATCAGTCGAGCCTTAAGAATTCTACAGCAAAGCAGCATCGTGGACAACTAGCCTAACTAAAGCGATGAGTCGAGGCTCGATTGACACGGGTAGCCACCATGCTCGTGTCACCGTAACTTGGTCGATGATGTAAAAACACGTTACCTCTGCTGCAGCAAAAGGCCAGTACCGCAAATGCTCCCTTGTCATCACAAGAAAACGCTTAGGAAATCCACTCCATCATCTGTTACCTTGGTAATCTTGAAAAATGTACTTGTACACATGACGAGAAAAACCTACAAGTGTTGTGACTTTGCATCAACTTCTTTATAGAGTTCCCTGAGGATCTACACCATGAACACGGACTCGGTATATACAAGTATGAAGGGTACTTCCGTAATTGGATAATACATGGAGTCGGACCATGTTTATCGGTTCATCACCAACATCTTCTTTAGAAAGATGAAACGTCTGAATATTGCTAGGGCCATCCGTTTTGTAAACAAACTGCCCTAGCAGCCTGTGCACTGGTGAAGGTTGAGCACTTCGATCAGCTGGTCGAGCCTCACGCCAACCATAGAGTTGGAACTCTTTAGGTGCGCTGGACAAATCGTAAGCCACACTCTGTAGCACACACGGTCATGTGTCAATATATGTTAATCAAGCTCGACATTTGTACTGCACAGAACCATATCAGCAGTCATCGTTTAAGTGCTTCATAACTACACTCGGGTGTAAGCCCATTAACTAGAAGAAACCTAAGTAATTTTACACTCCCACACTAATTGATATTCCCGTCCCATGTCTATGACCGCACACCGTACAAGTGAACCAAAATATACCCCAACTATCGTGGATACGGTCAACAAGCTCGACTCGATACGACATGATACCCGGATAAACCGACGATACAACCTACGCAAAACCCTCCGTCGCCATGGCAAAATTCTCACAACGTGGTAGCAAGACGTATCGTAAACAGAGGATTCTCGTAATGTCTTACCTTAGAGACATGCTCAAGAGTAACTGCATCAGGAAGAATGGCTGTCCGAAGAGAGATCTCCACAAAAACGTTACTTCCCTTCAAAGGCAAGCACTCGCCTGGTTCACCAAAACTGGGCTCTAGTACTTTCTGCGCTAGTGGATGCTTCCTAGCCTCCCCTGTAAGGATGCTGCTAAACACCATGCTGAACAACTGTCGACCTCGCCCCAGAAACACTCCCTCTGAATGATCCACTACACGTCCACCCCCACTGGCCAGAGCGTAGTCAGTCCGCCCGATTCCATCCGCAGCATGCTTCTCAACCTCACTCATCACTATTTTCCGTGCAATAGACCGGACGTCTTCTAGACTGAACGATTTACCGGTGCTATCAGAGGCACGGTGCTCCATGAACTTTTTCACAAGCTCAATGACTTCGTCACGATTCAATGGACCTCCGCCTTGATAGAGCCGGTCAACTTGGGCCTTCAAATCCTTCACTCCAGATTCCATTTCTGCCACTTGAGAGTCGAGTTTCTCTTTAAATTCGTTTCGTAAATCATTTGATCCTTTCTCGATTTTCATGTCAAGAACTTCTAGTTGTACCTACAAATACATAAATTGCACGCAACTGTATATTAAATAACCGCTTTTCCTGTTTAACCTGTGCAAAGCGAAGGATATTTCATTTTGAAACGCATACATCCGACATGCAGGAAAGATGGAGATCAAAACTACGAAAAATCCTTGAGAAACAAAAAGAGTGGCTCTGCATTGGCTCCACGATTTGAAGAAAATAACTCTTCTCCAGATGAAAACACCAGTCCGCGTAACAGGAAAAGAGGTGTAGAAACAAAAGACAAAGATGGATTGACTCCAACATTTCGAATTTCAGAAGAAAACAAAATAAGTACGAAGCGAGTATCGACTAACCTGTATCCATTTCGTTGTCTTGGTCATAAACTCCTCCAATTTCCCAACTTCATTAGAGGAAGCATACCACTCGGGTAGTGCTGCCTTGGGCCGAAGAGACCAAACAGCTGCCCCCACACCAACGGCCAGAAAAAGGAGTAAATAGGAGGGAGAAAATAAATGGCCCATCGTGGCCCATAGCGACGTCTTCTTCTTCACTTTGCCCTTCGGGATCGCGGGCTTCGATATCTTATGCTTTGAGGGCGAAGCTTTGTCGGACGCAGTGTCAACAACACATGAAGGTTTCTTTGTCGTAGGGGTCAGGGGAGGAGTATTATTTTCATGAGTCACACCAGCGGCTACGTCGTCGTCGTGTAAACCATTGGCGTCCCGAGTTGGAAATGCCATCGCAACCTCTTCCAAACTCGTTCTAGGCTCTCGAGCTCGTCTTGCACGCGTAACAGCAGAGGCGTGTGTAGCGGCAAGGAGGGGTGCTTCGGTGGCCTCTGACGCCACTTTCGACGCTGGCGTGGTCCTCTTCCGGGGCTTGGTGGCCACTCTCTCAGGCGCTGCACCCCCGGAGAGCGCATTACCGGTAGTAGTTGATGGTACAGTTGCCGCTGACATTTTGAGCTGTAACGCTCTTGACACAACCCTCCTAAAATTTGAATAAAAAAACTTTAAGCCAAAAGCTTGCAGAGATTGCCAATCCCAATCTCAGCTACCAAAACCAAGTGCAACACCTTCGCTAACCTAATGCCGTAACTACCCTCTCCCTGTCTTCCCCAATTTCAGAGCGCACTAAACCTACACGACTTTCAACCGCAGTCAATGCGGTTCACACACTCTCCTCCCAGGTACACCATTTCCTGGGTCATTCAACTTCGAAGCTCTCACATGAAACCCTACTGCAATCCCTCGCCCAATCTCCACACAAAAGCCTGCAACCTGCTTCGTCTTCCTCTCCTTCTTCCTCTTCTCCTTCTTCCTCTTCTCCTTCTTCTTCTTCTTCGTTCTTTCTTTCTTTCTTTCTTTCTTTCACCTGTCCTTGCCAAAGGCAGTTCCACTTCTCCACTTCCTCCGCGCAACCGATCCTCTCGGAATTCTCCGCAACGTTCAAACCCACCACTCGGCACCAGCACCCCCTCCCTTCCCCTCCGCCCCGGCTTCGCCCGCGGCTATAGAACCCGCATCTTGCTGCGGAATTCCGTGGGAATGGGCCATTGGACGGTTGTGGGCGAAGCCGGTGTCCATGTGTCCATGGACACCCCAAGCCCGTGTCTGTATGTGTATGTATTTCTTTTCTTTCTTTTATTTATTGAATGGGGTGTTGATTCTCTGGTTGAAGTCTTTGTAGTTGACACTGCGTCACTCTAACATTCTATCCGAAAGGGGGAAAATGATTTTTATTTGAGAGCCCCCAGATTGTCCATTCAGTTGTCATCCACTTATTTTCTATAGAGAAGTTTATTTTAATGTTTTTGTATGATTTCAAAAAAATAAACATGCCAACTTTTTAACTTCTTTCATTGTGGTCTGAACTTCTGGGTTGTGTCCAAAGAATGTGCCAAGCCTCTCTGTGGCGCTTCTCCATCTCTCTCTCTCTCACTCTCTCTCTGCGTCGCAAAACATGTGCGCTGTAACAGTTGCAGTTAACAGTTAAAATATAATCAATTTGACATGTTATAAAAAGTAAAATGCATTTACAGCAGAATAATGTGCTCACAAAATATTAATTGAAGAGTTTTTATATTTATTTGAGAATGTGAGAGATCACAACTTTTAAATCTTTTGAGAATTCCTAACACTAACTTTTAAATCATTAAAAAAAATAACACTAACTTTTAATTTGAAATGCTAAAATTTGGCATATTTTAACTTCTACAGTTTACCACATCATCAACACATAATATATATATATATATATATATATACATGAAAATTATTACAGATTTTCTCTCGTGAAAATTTTGGTGATAAAATAAATTGGTTACTACTAAATCTTTTGAAAAACAAATTATAAATTTGTTCAAAGAGGATTAGGTCGTGACATGTGCAATACTTATTATTATGAATAAGTAATTAAGGTAAATAGGATTAAAAAACGAATTTAAAAAGTAGGAAACACAAATATATGTTTTTACAGTTATTAGAATAATAAAATAGAAAAGAAAAAGCGAAGGAGATAGGGTAAATTTGCATTTTATCATAGTAAAGAGGGTATAATCCTCTCTCCATGTACTTGGTGGGATGCCCAAATGTAACTGCCAAATCAATTGAACAATTCTGTACGACTTTGAAAAAACCATGTTGTCAATTTATCCATTGCTCAGCACAAAACAATTGCCCCAAGTATTTCATGAGTTAAAATTTCAACCTCTTTTCTACTTACTTTGTTGATCATCATTCTTCTATGATGTGATTGATATTAACTTACACATCACAAGTCACATCACTAACAGCATACAAACAACCATATGGACCATATTTTACAAACCAAAAATTTTATGAATATAACATGGTTGACATATGAATGAAACATACATCACAAAGGTTATGTGCATATATATCTATATATCTATATATATGTATGTATATTTACTTATTGTATGTAACAGTGTATTGTAAAAATAATAGTATTGTAACTAAACGATAAAAAGAAAAAGAAAAAGAAAACAAGAGACATAAAAATAAAAACAAACAAACAAATAAATAGATAAGACCGTTGCCTGACTACGAATGTTACACAAATAGTGCATCTAAGATGTTGACATATTGTGGATGAAATGGTTCGCAACATTTTTAGGGTTTGAAAAGAAATAGAATTTGCTCATTATGATGGATACCTTGTCGATGCGTTGGATTGCAGTAGATTGGTGGATGAGGTTAATCAATGTTGGTGGCGAGCAGTTTTTTTTTGCTACTTGGGTGACGATCTGTATCACTTGGTTCGATTGGTCTTCTTCATCGTAGAGCCAGAGATCGAAACAAGTATGGCTTGCAAGCGTCGCAATATGCCAGTCAATGAGCTTTATGATGGTTTGAATAAGGATGAGAATCCATGCAACTGCGTCAGATTCTCCAAGTCGTTAATGGATTCAGGAGACGTCACCTTTGTCGACCGCTTCTCCCCCTTTCGTCCCTCTTGCATCTTCGTAGCGTTCACAGGAGATAAATCAATTAGATATTAAAAATACAACAGGACTTGAACTCGCAGTCAGTCCGAGACTGCTCCAAATGTGATTGTGTACTCGCCGAGTTTTGTCACTGTTGTGCGCAACACTGACAGGTTTATTCTGTTCTGCTTCATTGACAGGTGATGAATTTAACGCAATTGCAAAAAGTAAGATGAACCCATCTATCGGATTGTTGACGTTCTGTTCGTTTATTTAATATATTGCATCGGAAGTCCCATTGTAGTAACAGCCATATCAATCTATCGAAAAAAATGATCATAGAATTTGGTAAATTGTGTAGATTCTTCTTAGCCTGCTTTAGGATTTCGTATGCGATCCAAGTCATTTCTTTAAGACGGGGCCGCAAAATGGATAGACATGATGCAGGAGCGGGTGACAAGTAGCTTCATTCGACTGAGCTATCATCTGTTGAATTGCTGCCACAACATCGGACCGCACTGTAATCCCTCTTTACCAATGCAACCAATTCACAGGGTAAGATCCTTCCCTGCATCCGTCCTGCACTAATTTAAATAGGAATGACTACTGCAATTGCCGAATGTTGCATTCGAACAATCAAGTTTGGACATTGGAGAGCGTGGTCGTTTGCAGGCTCTATGGCGATGAATATTGTAGTAGAAATACCCGAGTTCTACAATTACCCTCTTGCATTCAACCCAGCGAAAGTCAAACTTGCTTTAGAAGAGAAAAGCTTGACGGTAAGGACGGTAAATTTGCTCTGGAACCATAATTGAGAATTGATCTATTTAGGCAAACTGCAAGTAATTAAATGCAAGAAAGAGACGATGAATCCTCAGCATTCAGCAGTTCAACAGTGTTGCAAATGCAGTACACAGAGAAACATATCGACATCTTCAATGGCCAATCTCTAACGCCAGGCTACATGAGGCTAAACCCTCACGGCTGGAGCCCGACGCTAGTGACTAAGGAGGAGATACTCACCGAGTCTCTGGACATAGTCAAGTAAGTTATAAGTAGTTTGTGTAAGCTTGACTCACCAGCTCCTTCATCCCTATATTAATCTGCGGCCGTGATTCAGATTTGTCAAGTAGTGTTGGACGTTGCATTGATTAACAGGTGGGCGGATCGTCAGGGGTCGTCTCTCGGAGGTGATGCAGTAGACCGCACTTTTGTATCGGAGTGGCTGACCAAAGTAAATGCCTGGGACGGCAACCTCTTCGCCATGTTCAACAGCCCTGCCCGCGGGATGTTCAGGTACGTCACCAAGTTCAAAATCAAAACAGCTGAGTCGTATGCGCAACGGTTCCCCGACCTGGCAGATGTGTACAGGAAAAAGGTCGTCTCTATGAAACAAGTTCTACGGGAAGTAGACGATGCCGAAACAGTGAACGCCAACATGGCGCAGCTAGTGGCCCTGTTGGACGAGGCCGAGATGCGGCTGAGGAATTTCAAGTTTTTGGCAGGAAATCAATATTCCGTTGCAGATGTCATCTTCACGCCAGTAGTGTACCGCCTGTTTTCCACCAAAAAAGATCAAGAATACCTGAATTCACGCCCCCACATCCGGACATACTACCAGGACTTGAAAACCCGGTCCAGCTACAAGAAAGTGTTCGGCATTTCGGACACCAGCTTGGGAACCATGTGGGTAGTCTTGCCTGCGTTGCTCAAAGTTTTCTGGACAAATTTCACGAGGAGGTACTAGGAATCAGCTGATCAGGAGCCAATCGCAAGTGAAGTAAGCACTCTTAAATTGTCCATTGATAATGACACTGTAGAGTGTTTCTGATTTTTAAGTTGCAGCCTTGCTGAATCGCTCTCAAGTTTGCTGGTGGATACATTACACTGAAAGTCCAATCCAATGTGCGGTGGAGAGCACTGTAGAGAAGGTGTAATTCCCTCACTAGTTTTAGTCGGTAAGGACATAAACGGCAATAAGTGCAACAACCTTGAACATCATGGCTACTTGCGAGGCACCATAGTCAGTGCTGGATACCAACGGAGTCCAGCACATTGAGACGAGTTAAATCCACAGAAGAAATTCGATTCACGCCTAAACTCCTCCATCTGGTAACATATGCTAGAGTGAGCACTTATCCTGTTCTACATCATTTCCCTCAGGTACAATTACAATGAATACAGGTTGTACTTCAAATCCAGTTGTGGGTTTGATTGCAATTACAGAAGTCGTATGGAAATTTGAGATTCAGTCAAAGAAGTTTACGACTTTATTGTCGCGACTGCCAAGCCTTGGCTATTTTCCTCCCCACGTATCGAACTGTGTTCACACCTCCAGCGGCTAAAACTCCTGAAAGCACTTGCCTGAAACTTGAAGTCCGCACGATGCTGCTCACTGCCCGAGTGACTAATTTGGTGTGGCCCTCCTTGGAATTTACGACTGCCTCGGCAATAGCCATATTTGCTGCACGGAGAATTGATTTTAGAATGATCATCCACATTCAAGACAAAAAAACACAAAAACAAGTCTTTGTTCTGTTCTTATGTTAGCTATCGCCATGACATCTATGTTCTGCTCACCAAGTACGCTGGAATCATACTGAGTGCCTGTTTGCCGAGCTAGTCGTTGCATTACACAAGCAGGGAGTGAACTCAACAACTCATACTTTGTGGATATCCTATTAGCCTGCGCAGGACAAAGCAAGTTTGTTGAAAACTCTCAGAATTACGCTATCTGCGGGTAGAACAATGATTGTGCATGTATGCAAAACACTCTACGCGTGCGTTGCCCGAAGATATGGTTTACAAGTCTCTTATGAACAAATTGCGATGCAGACGCTAACCTGTTTAAATCTTGCCTTTAGATCAGGTGAAAATTGTGGTGGAGAATGCAGTATTTCCCGGGACGCATAAGTATTTATTGAATCTCTGTACAGTTCGTGAAATCGAGTGGAACTGCCCTGGACTATCTTCCGAACCTGTACGCAAAAACAGCGCATTAATATGATGTTGGTGTTGATCGTGAACAACAGGATACATGGATAAGACAGAAATTGAGATCTTTACCTTATGCCTGTCTTCAGCAAAAAGCATGCGCACATCACCCATGTACGAAAGTCCACATATAGTGGCATACAAATCCTCCTGCAAACACCACTTTCATAGACAGGCTGAACACCAATTTAACTGCAAATGACAGCAAGTTCCAACAGTAGAAATTACACAGCGACACGGTCGCTCATTTACATTGGGCACTGCTTGGGAACGCTATAGAGATCACCATTCACTTAGATTTCATATAAAACTAGATAATTTTAAGTTGAGTATTGATGTTCGCTTATTTCTAAAACTCAACAATCAAGAACTCTCCATTTATTGTTAACGTTGTCCAGTTCAAATTGCGACGAAGAATTCACAGTTCTATTGGATGTCAGTATGACGTGGCCTAGTTGGCAAACATGAAGCTTACTACGATACCTCAGTAAACTCGGTTGGCAGTAAAAGCAGAGCAGCTGTCAGGGCGGCTTGCAAATTCTTGCGGTTCATTTCTTCTCCATGAATCCGATCCACCAACAAACGCACCTGATATTATGTTCCACCGCAAGTATCAATCATTGCAGGAATACTAGCAAAAATAAGGGGGTTTCCTTCGCATCAAAAGAAGCGAGAGCAATAAGTTGACCTAATTATATGCTACAAGATCAAGTGACCCTTCTCCTTCATAATAAACCCACGCACCGGTTTCTGCAATCGTCCACCAATGTATAGTCTTTGCCATGTGTAAACATCCTTCACAAGATTATCAACACTGATCACTCCATACTTTATTTTCTGCATACAATTGTTCCATTCAGTTTAGACACGGTTACATTTGATTCTCAGCAGTAAATGCACTTACAACCAGATGTAAATCAAATTAAATTTAGTCCAACTAATAGAGCCAAATTCAGCAGGAAAGAATCAGTGTGTGACCACGGGTTTCAGGTTTAACGAGATCAGAACAAGAACAAACCCACCAGGTTGTCTTTTACGGGACAATATGTAACAGGTATGAACTAGAGACTAACAGAATTCTCGGAATATGTGCTAGGCAGGTACATATTCTCCAAAAGTCAGATGCGTACCTTTGTTTTCCACGGCACAAATGCATTAAAATGGACACCCGCTCCCATACTCTCAGCAACATTGCTCATCTGCGCATGACCCTTTCAGCCATCCATTAAAGGAACGCAGTTTCAATATATCACTGCTTTTCTCTTCTGATTACTGCGACTACTGCAACAGTTAAGAGGTGATAGTATTGCAATAACATTAGAAGAATTCTAGTTCCTATTATTAAGGCTTGCAACAGAAAATAAGAGTGTTCATTCGACTTAATAATATACATCGATCAACTGCACAGCAATGAAAATTCAATAACATTCAAACAGGGAATTTATGTACATACCGCTCTGCCACCAAACCAAGACAGCCATGAAGCGTAATGATGAGGATTTTTGTCCAAATTCTGCCCAATCGTCAAATACAGTCCCCACACTCAGCTTCCAGTCACTCGTGTGCTGAACCAGCTCCAAAATAACATATATATATATAAAAATTTGGGATAAAACAGTTCATGAATTTTTACTTTCAAAAATTAAAATTAAAAAGAAGAGAAAAACAATGCATTCTTGCCTTGGAATGCCAATCTGCCGGAGAAGAAACTCCCAAAATATAGTCAACCATTGGTGCCTAACCATACCATCCTCAACCATGGCATCACAACAATCAAATAGATGAAAAATTTAAAGAGCATCTGAGACTCTAATAAACTAATTAATTCGAATTTGCGTCTGAGACACGTTTTCTTGAATGCTTACATCAGTTGAACTCCCACGCGCATGCCGGGATTGAGCAAAAACTCCAGAGCCATAAGCAAAGGCAAATTCCACAGGGGGCATTGAATCCAGCGGAGCAATCAGATCCTGAAGCGGAACCACCTCCTCCATGTGATCCTTCTTTTCCCGAAGCATCTCTTGTGTAACCTTTTGGGAAGGATCATGACCTAATGCACCGTCGACCTCTAAGGCCTTCATCATAGCGATGTTTTTGACAAGGTTTTTATGACAATGTTAACTGGATACCTTTGCTTATCGCCACAATAAATCATATCAACCAACAGCAATCCATCATGTTTGGCTTCATTTCAAACAAGGAAACACCTCCGACGACGACAACACACACAGAGCTCTAATTCAACACCACCTCACCACACAGACGTGCATATTCCACCCATGCCCCTCTCCCGCTTGACAAAAACAGCCCTTAAAATTTGTTCCTCAACTTGCCATCACCAAAGAAGAGGAAAAAAATGGAGGCGACAACCATCAACTAATGCAGAATTCCTTTAAGAAAAAAGCAGATGGGATGGGGTTTTGAAGGAGTAGAAGGGTCGCTAGAGGGACGCAACTGCCGAATTTGTGCAGGGAAAGTAACAACAAGATTTGAATTCGCCATTTCTCTGCGACAAGGGGCGATCACCGCGGGATGGAGGAGCTCCGGCGAACGAGAAATCATGAACGAAGAACTCCGTCGTCTTCGACGGAGGACGAAGACTGAACGAAACTATACATGTGAAAAAAGACACACACAATAACATTCATCGAAAATACGGATGACATTCGTCGACTTGGACCCAAGCACCGGCTGGGTCCCCTAAGGCGAACTAAGAGCTAGTTAGTGGTTCGGTGCATTAGGGTTTGGACCGAGCTCGCCGATCTGGGGGTTGGATTTGCTGAGAGACGGAGAGGTAGGAGATTGTAGATTCGTCACAACACCATCGACAACTGCGAGGCACAATGGGGACACTGGGTCGAGTGGTCTTCTCTCTGGGCAAGGCTGCGCGCACCACCGGCCAAGCTCTAGATCGTCTCGGTTCACGCTTGCAAGGCGGCAACACGTTCAAAGATGAGGGTAAGAGATTCCCATGGCTAGGTCTCTGGATTGGATTCGAGATCTTGGATTGCAGGTGCGGCATTGATCGGGTGGGAGTCGGTGGTGGTAATTAGGGAATGGGTTGTTCCTCTTTTTAGTGCAGACTCGGAAGGTGATCCAGGTGTAGTTTGATTTTGCAAATGCGTGGCAAGTGGGTAGAGTGAGGCTTTAGAGGGTCTAGTTTACCGCTTCTTTCAATTGGTGTGTGGATTATGGCATTGGGGCTGAAACCAATTTCAGCTGAATTTCTTCATCGTTCCGTTGAGAGGGCAATTTTTAAAAAATATATATATAACTTTGCTCTTATGTGATCAGAACATGCCTTTCCCTAGGGCAACGTTCGTTAGTTCCTTCTTTGGTTAAACCATGGGAAAATGGGCATCCGATTCAAATCCAGTCTTTAGCATATGGGCCAGAGAGCTGGTCCACACTGTTCGTGAAGTGTTCGGGTTGCGGAATGTAACTTGTTTTATACTTGTATGTTTTTTTGTTATTATGTGAACTTTGCATGAGTTGGGTTAGGATACAGTTGACCTATACGTTTGATAACGCGTTTTGCTGCTACAAATATGATCTGCAGTTTCCAAGCATCAAACCGTTTTAAGCATATTTGACAAGAAGCCTGTCATTGAGGAATCCGCATTCGTGGCCCCCGGTGCTTCTGTTGTTGGTGAAGTGGAAATTGGAAAGCAGTCGTCAGTTTGGTACGGATGTGTTCTACGAGGTAAGAAGTTAATTCGTCCATCCTCCGTGTGTTTCTCAAGCTATGAGGCAGTATCACAAGGCTGAATCATTTTCAAACATCGTAGTTATCTTAGTGTCAGCATATACATGCGATACTATCCTTGAATGGAAAATGCTCACATTCTTGATTCGAAGATGTTAAATGGAGTTTTCAGAGGATGATAATGGTGGTGCCAGCTTCTGTGAACCTAGTATATCCTAGCAGAGCTGAACACGTGTGTATACCGTCGTTACACACTGCTTTAGATTTCAATCAGTGCTCATCTGCTAGAATCCTCATCTCATAGATTTGGCTCACACAGTGTTACTCTTGCTGGTTATCTGACAGATTACATGTAGCACACAGTTTATTTCTTAATATGACGTGAACTGTAAGTTAATTTCGTAGAGTCCTTAGTTCAAGAAGAAGAAAGCCGTATAATTTAGGTCCCTAACCATTCGAGACTGGGACTTTGTATGGTAGTTCCAGTCGTCTTAATGTGGGACATCATTCTCGCGTGTTGGTTTTCACCCCTTACCTACATACGAAGGTGTGACTATGTGGCAGGTGATGTTCATCATATCAAAGTGGGATCAGAGACGAATATTCAGGACAATACTGTAGTACATGTAGCCAAAACCAACGTAAGTGGCAATGTTGAGCCTACTGTAATCGGCAATAGGGTCACTATTGGTAAGTCAGCGTTCTACAAGTGCTTCTTATGCTTCCATGTACTTTTATATTTCCCACTTATGTGGTGTCTAGTTTGTAATCGGAGTAAAGTTGGTTTAAGCCTTCTTGTCTGCGCTGCTATATTTCTTTGAGGTGGAATTGACAGTTGGTAAGCATGCATCAATCACATTGTGTAAGTTGGCTTGCAGGGCACAATTCTGTACTTCATGCGTGTACTGTTGAGGACGAGTCGTTTGTTGGTATGGGCTCTACTATTCTAGACGGAGCTGTTGTGGAGAAAGGTGCCATGGTGGCGGCTGGTTCCGTAGTCACACAAAGGACTCGCGTTCCTTCTGGCCAGGTCAGTTAACCACCTTTTAATTATATTGGATTCGAAAATGACTCAGTGCACGAATGCGTCTGGATTCTTCATGTCGGAAGTCTCGAAATATTTTTTACTTTGAAAGTGGAAGATATCTGTGTAACTTCATGTGTGTGGATTATTTGATGATTATAGATATGGGCAGGAAGTCCTGCTAAGTTTTTGAGGGAGCTCACGGATGAGGAGCGATCATCCCTTTCAGAAAATGCCATTCTTTACATGGATTTGGCGGAAGTTCACGCTTCGGAGAATCGGAAAACTGCTGGAGAGATCGAGGCTGACAAGGCTCTGAGAAGAAAGTGGGAAATTCAGTCTGATGACTACGATTCCCACCTGGGTATCGTCCGCTCTAAGAGACCAGAGATTCATTTCCCCAACAAAATGATCTCCAAGGGTCCCCATTAATTTTGTCGTGTCAGTTATCATAGTTTTATTTGTTCTCTTCTCTTCGAGTGGAAGTGTTCCGTGGTCGTTAATAAAACTTTGACCCAAATGCGTACTTCCTTGATAATCGCTGGTGTTGGTTTGGAAAGGTTCCTAACTTCAGTGCCAGAAATGAATCTGTTTGTTACTAAATTGCATCCTTTTCGAGATCTAACCCAAATGGCTTTTTGTACAACAATATGATCAGGCGGAAGATAAGCAGCTCCTTTTCGTGTGAAGTTTTGTGTTTCTTTGACTGTGTTTTACGTCCTCGATTCGAATTACCCCCACTTGAATTCCTCACATCGCGAGGGATCGTTTATTCGGAGATATTATTTCAGTATTTTGTTACATGAAAACAGCATTGTTTACTTCTTGAATTTTTATACGTGTCTTAACACTTCATAACTTTTTTTGATGTATCTCAATTGTCTGTGTATGACCTTGCTTCGTGGCCGGATTTTCTCTCATTACACAATGTGAAGCAGAAGTGACATAGATGTGAAAATGGTGTATTTTGTTATGTGATACATAATGTTTTGAAATTAGGTTTCCTACGGGAGCGTTTGAATGTCACTTGTTTGATGTCACTTTTTTAAATGCAAATGTGTGCTGTGTGCAGAAATTGGAAATGAAATTGAGAATTTTAGGGTTTCAGTAAAAGTTGTAATCGCTTAATGCTTGTAGTGTTAGATACCTAAAGGAGGTGTAGAAGAGAAACAGATGTTTCATTTATATATGACTTATTTTGTTCACTTTGTGTATCTGTGAGGCACTTGTTTTCTACTTGTATATCCAATGAATTTGTTGTTGATGTTAATTGTTTTAAAACATGAGGTGTGTTAATTTAAAAACAATGTGGTTTTATGCCAACACTAAATTAAGTGAGTTATTTATTTATTATATATATATATATATATATATATATATATATATATATTTTTATTCCCCTCTTTTGCTTGTTTTGGTAAAAATTGTGCAAAAATTTGTTGATTTAGATTATATTTGTAAGTCAAAATATCTAATTTTGCAATTAAATTATGTAGGAATTTTTGGGCAATTGTTAATTTTATGCTATTTAGCCCAATTTTTCTCATTCTTCTTAAACAATCTTTTTGACAATCTATTAAAATTTTTATTAATAAATTAAACTTGAATTTATCTTGTTGCATAATTGATATATATAATAGAATTAAGCTTCTACTTCATAAATAATTTAGTTAACAAAATTGTTACCATAGAAATAAATCCTATTTGTGCTATCCTTCATAAAGTAGGGCAATTATTACTTGTACAACAATAATCACATATTTTGTTTGTACATAGTTAGTTACAAATAATTTGCTTTCAAGCTTTTGCATTTTGTATATTTTATACAAAGTAGCCATCTACTATTTGTGAATGCATCTTTTGAAGGACTTGTCTAACTCTAGTAGGTTGTAATATATATTATAAAAGTAAGTATATACATTAAAAATATATATTATTTTACATAAATAAAATAAAATTAGAATAATTATTTAGGATAGTTTCTAATTTTTGGCTTTGGTGACATTTATAAGATGTTTATTCTAGTTCAAAGTAATATAAATACTTTTACAAGTTATTTTTTATTAGCTTGTCATGCTTTTATTTTATTACAAGAATTAAAATTAAATTTTTTTTAGATAGTTAATAATTTTTTTTAGTAATTAAATATTTTTAGCTAATTATTATATTTTATATTTTATATTCTTTGATAATAAAAAAATATATTTAATACCTTAATTAAAAAAATAAAATAGATGGTGGTTAAGATATTTGAATTTTATTGCATAATAATTTTGTCTTGGAATTAGTGGTTATATTGATTCTAAATCAAATCTAATTTTAACCACCCTAAAATACATGTAATATTACTAAGTCTTAGGAATTGTTATATTGATATTATATAACATTTTCATTTATAATCTAATACAATTAAAATATGATACCACTTTTTGTTAAGTATTTAACCAAAAAGTAATTCTATTAAAAAATAAGACAAATTTTAAAAATACTAAATTTGTTTTGCAAATATAACCAATAATGATGATCAAACTTGATTTTTTTACTTGTGATGAGATCTTGGAGTATCTTGTGATATTTCAAAATATTACTTGATACTTCACCAAATTACCCACTTTATAAAGTGGATGATTTTAAAATCGAAATATCAAAAGAGAGACAAATGAAATGTCAAAAACCTTGTCGCTTGCCTCAAAACTCTTCTATCTTTGATTCCATACCACATTGCTAATTTACTATGCCTTTGCGCTTCAAAAAAATAGCAAATCCTAATCATCTTTGATTCCATACTATACTACAACTTCACCTTGCTTCTATGCTTTGAAAAATAGCAAATCCTAAACCTCTTTGATTCCATTTCACATTGCAATGTTACCATGCTATGGCACTCCAAAAAATAGCAGATCCTCCAAGATTTAGAAATGTTGACCACTTTTGTAATTGATGAGGAATTTGATGAATTGTTTGAAGAATAATACTAAGAAATTGACAACAAGTTTCAAGACGACTTCTTTGAATTCAATGATGTAGACAAACTTGAAGTGGTTCACAAAGCAATTAACAACTTTAATTTGATGCTTACTCAAAATATTATATCCAAATCATGCAATTGAGTTTTGAATTATTTTATGAATGAATCTGATAGCTAGTTTTGCCAAACGGCAAGAACAATGCGGCAAGGCTTTTAGATGGTGCTTTCAACCATCAAAGACCACCCCATTTTTAAAAACAATAACCATTATTCACAAACTAATATTACTTGGCAATTGGCAATAGTACTCAAGCATCTTAGATCAAATAAGAATAGAGCTATTATTAGAAGATTGAAAAGAGCCTAAGATGTTGGCAATAATAGAATGTGTCTCTTTACAAATTATGTGATTTAAGCCATTCTTTTATTCAAAGAGCAATATTTACAGTGGCCAAATATTGCCCAAAGGCTTCAAATTAGCCAATCTTTTAGTCTTTTATGGTTTGAACATTGTATTGGACTTATCAATAGGACACAATTCTCCTTGAGTTAGCTCTCTAAAAATGACAAAGATGCATTTTTTGATAAGAAGAAGAAATATTGAGTCAATGCACAAGTTGTTTATGACTTTGATTATTGTATCATTGGTCTAATCATTGATTGGCCTAGATCTTGTGCAAATACAATAGTATTTAAGAAGATGGGGATATTCAAAAATCCCAAAAAAATACTTTGATCTTGGATAGTACTTGCTAGTAGATTTGGCCTCTAATATGAGTTAGACAGTTATTCGTAGCTATAAGTCTCTAGCCACCAAATGGTTGATCAACAAGGAATTCAATTATTATTTGGCTAAAGTGAGGATTATAAATAAACATTACATTGGAATTCTAAAAGAAATATGGACTTTACTCAAAGAAATCCATATCCAATTGAATTAAACAATAGATATGAATTTTATTGTAGATTGGATTTTTGCTTGTTATATTTTGCATAACATGTTTGCCAATTTGGGTAATGTATGGATGGCTAAATTTACTAGGATTAGCTAAAAGCCATCAAAAAAATTTGTTGATATGTTGAAATGGGCGATTCTCTTTTAAAAAAAATAGATTGGAACAAAGTTGCAGTATACAATTATACATTGGATGTTTTACTAATACATAATTGAGATTAATAGATTTCCATTAGGTTTAGGATTTAGGATCTTGAGCTATCAAAATTAATTATATGAAGTATTCTTTGAATATTGTTTAAGTAAAAAAAATAAAATAATGCATTGTGGCTTTTATCTATCGCTCTTCATCAGGTTTGCAATACACTATTCCAAAATACCTTCTCTTGTCTTATAGATTCTACAGGGTGATGTGAAATAAAAGACATTGCAATGAAGTGTAAATGTAATTACTAGCCTTTAATGGAAGCAACTTTGTCATAGGAATATGTTCCAACTTACTTTGTCATAGATCAAGGCTTCTATATCAGAAGAGAGTTCAAGGAATAGCACCAATTTTTTTAGACAAGATTTGTAGTTTGTATTAGTAACTTCATTGCATAGAGGAACAATAAAATTTTATGCAATTCAAAAAGTTTTGACTCCTAAGATATATCTCACTTAGGCAGATTGCGTTCTTCAAGTGTTTAATTTTAGTAGAGTCAAATTCTAGTTTTTTAAGTCTTTGTAGCAAGAATAGTTATTTCTTAAGCCAAGTAAGTTAGTTTAAATCTAGCCATAATAGAATCACAAGGATTCCATTTTTATTTATTTATTTTTTAATTTTGGATTTTATACAAGAAAGTCTCTAAGTGCCATAATTTTATAAGATTGATAATATTGTAAGATTTGTTAGTTTGTAAGATCAATTATTTTGTAAGAAATAAAATATAATAAAATATAAGAATTTTATAAGACTAATTTTTTTGTAAGAAATGCAATATATTATTTCAATTTATATGATAGAATCTATCAAGTTTTCTTTTCTTATGTAGCAACTTACAAGGATGCCACCTCAAAAATCCAATGCTTCTAAAACCTCACATTCTAGGCTTTCTCAACTCTCTCCATACTAATCTAGTGCAATCAAATCTAGGCCAACACAACAAGTTTTAGCATTGACAATAGTGCAACCTTGTAATACAAATCTTAAAATTTAAGACATGAAATGTAAACTATAATTGAAGTCATAAACTAATTTTTTATTTATATATTTTTTTTACGAGGGCTATAACTTGTTCTATTTTCTACATATTTTATCCTTGAATTAATTGAAACTAGATTAGATTAAAGAACTTGTCTTTTCTATTACGTTTTTAAATCACTTCTTTTTCTTCTTGTTCTACAATAAATTTCTCTCTTTCAAATGTCATCTTTTTTTTTTTTTATAATCTCCTTCATTTCCAATTCTTTTTTTAAACAAGCCTCAATTATCTCATTATCTTATTTAAGTAGAGGCAAGCATTCTATCATTATAATAATTTTTAATTCCAATGACTTTGCAAATGTATTGGCTATTGTACAACACTCCTTCAAATATTTTCTTTCTCACTCCAAAACAAGTAGATGACTCCTCTTATTTGGGGTGAAGGTGATGGTGTTGCCAAGTAATGGACATCTTACAAAAGGCAATGCTAGTAAAATAGAAGGAAACTAGGGAGAAATAGAAGGGAGTAAGAAATTATGCTCCACCTTATACATCCTTCTCTAATTTATCAAATTTGTTTTGTAGTAAAGCCTCCCAAGCATCCTCAAGTAGTAATTCTTCAAGTAGTAAATTCAAATTGACCAACAAACTTCATAAATTGATCATTGATATTACCATAGAATCTTGCAATGGCATTAGTAATATTAAATCTATTATCATGGTAGAGTTTTTCTTGCACAAAGACATCATATTTGGCCTCATTTTGTATGAAGCATATATCTTTTTTTTAAGTAGACATATGTCTTTAAACTTTGCAACCATTATGCATATACCTCACTTCCAATTTTTATCATAGATCACATTGCCAATAGCAATTGATTAGTCATATGTAGCTATAAATTTTGCCTTAAAAATATATAGTCAATTCAGCATATTGACCAAAAAAAAAGTTTAATTTGCCCTTTGATGTATTATTCACCTGAATAGCCAATTGCACTAAAGCTTTAGCCTTGATTTTTTTTCTTCCCACATACCTTTGTCTTGCTCAAATTGTCCAACTTTTAAAATTTTGTTTAATCTTCTAGCTAGTTGACCATTGATGCATATCCATTTATTCCAAAATGACCTCCTTTGCCACTATCTATAAGGATTGGATACTTCTTCAGAGACATAATAAATAGTACAAAAGAGGAAAAAAGATGGACATAGAATATTAATTCGACATGTTAAGTTGACTTCTTATCACTTCATATGTCACTAAAATATTAAGTGATACTTCACAAACTTAAAGATGGTAATAAAGTTTAAACGATGATATTTTGGATTTAATATTTTGAGTAATCCTAAAAATATTAGGTGCTAAATTTCAATTGTTAGATTGTACAGAAGTGTCAAGTTTGAATTCTTTAATAGAATGATAAAAATTTAGAATGCATAGTTATAAGTAAGCATATATTGGCACTATAAGAAACAAGTAAAAGTGGTCTTTTAAAACTATTATTTTTTATTTATAGTATGTATAAAATCCTTAATTATATTTCTATTTGATTTGTTACAATAGATTCATATATTAGTATTTTTTTAATTTTAAAAAAAAATGTGTATGGAGTTTTGATAAATATAAGATTTTAGAATAGCTAATGAAAAAAAACTAATATTAATAGGAATTTAAATTAAATTTATACAATTAAATTAGAATCTTATATAAAATCATAAAGAAATAAATCAAAAGAAATTTTGTGATTATTTCAATTAATAAATTTTATATTTTTAGTATTTTTATGTAAATTTCTTACATGAAAGTTCATAAAAATGTTTAATATTTTAAATTTTTACTTTATTATAGTAAAATTATTTAAAATAAATACATAAAATTTTTCTTTATAAAACTATAAATTAAATAGATTATTATACTAGATAGTTATGTTTTGTGCCTTGTAAAAAAATTTGACTTTAAAATAATTTGAAATAAAACATTAATTTTTAAATAGTATATTATTATTTATTATTTTAAAATATTTATAATTAATTTGAATTACATTACATGTAGTATTGATTGTATCTTAGAATAATTTTTGTAGTTTCTATTAAATTGTTGAAGTATGATGGTATAATGGTTGGATCTTTCAAACTAATTACAAAAAGAAATTTGATGCATTGTCCAAAAAAAATAAGTACATTGCTAAATATATATTGATATGGTATATTAATTTTTTTTAAATGCAACAGAACATTACTAAAATCACTTTTTTAGTTCATACGAAGTTTACAACTTTACAAGTCTTCTTGGATACCATTCCAGAGTTCTGAAAGAGATTGATTGAGGGATTTCGCACATCTGCATGCAAAAATCATATTCTTCGGAACTGTTATACCGATAAATAAACGCCAAGACCGTGAAAATATACCAGAGAACCACGGTTGCTCACTAGATTTGCCAAGTCAGATAAAGAGAAAGTGAACCGTTGTTTAACCCAGCTTCATTGTAAGCAACAGTCCATGGTGAGGGTGAACATAGGGTGAATGGTATAAAAATTTAATAGGATCACCGAGATACTTGATAAAGTTAGACAACTGCGTACAAAATAAAAAGGAAGTACAATTATCTTGAAACAGGGTTCCCTCACCTCGTCGACCAGAGGTAGAATCAAAATTTGGATCATGTTAGCATAAGCTTCAGACGTTGTGGAGGTGTCTGCACCTCCAGCACCTTGAGGGGTACCGCCTTGTGAACTGTCCAACCATGCTCTTGTGCTTCGAGACACTTTCGTGACGACTCAAAGCTCATTTCAAAACTCTAGCGCCTGTGCGTGAAGATTTAGAAAAGATATCGAGTGTGAGCTCTTAGGACAAAGGATAGCAAAGCAACCAGAAAGAATTCATGGTAAAAAGAAAGATCGAAATTTAAGTTGGCACAGGGTTTCTTTTGGAAGAAGTTGAAGATGAAGATCACCGACTCATCACATACCTCAAGACGTAACAAAAGGTTGAGCGAATTGATATATGCTTTCCGCAGAGAACCAAGCGAGCTCTTATCTAGATTCTGCACATACGTTCAGGCGACACGACATCAAAGGAACATGATCACGGGAGTGGTTCATGACCAGCGAAGCGATTCTATCTCTGCGGCCAGCGACACACATCGGATACTGCTTTGGTTTACATCAAGTGCTGCAGCATTCGTGCATAAGTAGGACATTTGAATCTTGTATAGGCATGATCCGGCCATTTTAACTGACCCCCCTGCATCACCCATCACCGACATTTTCCGTTAGTATTTTGCAGAAAAGCAATGATGTCCCCAACGATACCATCAGGAGATGAGACATCCTACAAGCTACTGATATTAATCAGAAGTAATCACCATATCCAATAAAGGATGATAAATAAACAAATGAATATGTGCTTAGATCAGTGGTGAATAACTTCAAATACTACGTTACAAGGAGTAGCCTTATTACAACGCTCACATAATACTTAACTCTATGCACATTTTGAACTACTCCCAGATCCCAGGAGGGTAGGACAACTCCTCGGGCAACGTGTTCAATTCTTCCACAGAGACGCATTGTTCTGGACCTGCAACTTAAGTTGCTGTTGCTTGCTTTGATCTGTCAAGGTCAAAAAACCAAGTATTGACTTCTCAAATGAACTGGGCATATCAAGGTAGCAGATGAATGACTATGTCGAGAATAGGACATATAATTCAAACCAAGCATCATAGATGCAACTTCATTGTTGAATTTTACTTTAAGGTAACCAGTATGAAATTTCACCAAATATGAGCCATAAAAAAGGAGAAAATCAAAAATAATAATAATAATAATAATAATAGTTCAGACTAGTATCAAATTGCCTCATAACGATAAGACATCCTGTGGACCTACTTCATCACTTGAAGGAAAAGAGATTTATGATTCTATTTCTGTACATAACGACTCAATATCTTCCAAGTATCGCAATTTCAAATTGAAGATACCAAGCCACTCGTACATATCTTCAACGATTTCTTGAGCAGCATCCAGCTGTTGAAGATCCTGGATACACACAAATTCTTGGCATGCATTAAAGTGCTGAGATCGCCAATTCAGATCTGACGCTTATATCTATGCTGTAAAATAAACTTCTTCAGCTTTCTAATCTATGCTACTTGATTTTTAATTGCTTAAACCAATTACTTTGATGAATTTTTTACTTTTTTAGGAAGATTCGACGATTGTGGTGGAGGAACTCTCTCTCATGAGCAGGCACGCATGTTACCCGAACCAAGGAGGCTCACGGAACTTGGATAAGATAAACAGTCAAACTCCTAACCCCACCACCCAGCGAAACTCATCAGATCCACTATCTCAAAACCACTCTAAAAATTAAATCAGTGGATAATGGAATTGGTTTAATATTACAGAGACCTTGCACTTCTGCATCCCCAACAGTACACTGGTTTTTAATATCTCAGACTATGACTGACGTTTAGATTTTTCAAGACGGTACACTTCAACACGGAAGCCTTGCTCAAAGAACTTTACATTGGAAAGTCTTGTAAGAAGAAACAATCGTACATTCCAGGATAGAGACCCGCAGATTGCGTAATAAAATTCAAGAACTTGAGAAGCTAAATATAAACTTCAATATCTTTATGAGTGTGAGCGGACAAGTTCAAACTAGAATAAATGTGCAGCCGCTAAGGTCAGTGGACACCGCTTCCACCTTGCTCAAGTGCTTCAGTTTATATGCTTTTGCAAGCTTCACATTCTCAAAGGAAAGCTCTAAATCGTTTGACCTGAATTCATAAAGTAGCGTCAAGTCAGAATTCGACCTTCGTATTGCAAAGATGTATTTTTGCCCTAGTTCAATCAGCGTGCTACATGACCTTACAAAGCTAGTCGCTTTATTCAAATCACTCTTCTGCAACCATTATATCAGGGCACCAATACAACCAACAGCTCAACTGAGAATATAAGTTGTCATTCAAGAGCGAACACAAGTAATGTGCAGGGGAAAAACTATATTCATGAAAGGCCTCACATCGTCTCGGAAACCATCGTTGCAGAGGACAGATTTTCGTTCTTGCAGACAAGCAGGAGTCTGCTTCAAACCATGCAATATTATTTAAAAAATTTATGTTGTCGCTGATCGCACTACTGCACAAGGTTCAGTGGACGTCACATCAGAGACCATCAGTTAAAGTTTCACGGGGAAAAAGATAAGCGAAAAGATGAGTAGATCACATCCTTGATTTCCTTGCATTATTATTCAGAGATTGTATGAGAAGATACTATCACTTCTTGACAAGTGAGAAAAAGAAGAGGATTGAAAATTCTAACTTACCGGGATAAGTATAATCAGTCGAGACCCTAAGTAACATAATTTGATTAAACTCACTGCTGAATACTATCAAAGTGAAATTATGACATATCACTGGCCGACATAGATCATCTTCGTCAAGATACTCTTGGTACAAACAGCATTTCCTACCCCTACAAGAGTACTTTATTGGAGACTGCTATGAGAGTTACAAGTCTCTGCATGAATGGATTCAATCCAATACATGCTTCACCCTGCATTGCATCCCCGCAGAGGGATGATGCTCAAAGTGGTAACGTACAGATGGCCTTACATCAGAACTCCTCTCTAAATTGTCACTTATCTGAAGGTACAAACCGAGGGATCATCAACAGCCAAATTATTCTCTGCGATTTGACACCAACCTATCTATGGCCACACGGATATTTTACAGCAACAAATTCATGACAATTTGAAACAAAAAAAATCATGAAACGGTAACAAGCTCTGAGTGAGAAAAACAAATACATCAGCTCCAGCCACACTAAGAAATCGATTACATTATATACCTGCAAGTGCAACAACACGAGACTTGTCACCGTATCGCGTCCGTCGTCCCGCCACGCTCCAGGAAGCTCACCTCTAAGCCACACGTAACGCCACAACCACAGCGTCCTCCGCAATGGCGAACTACACCTCGGCAACAGCCGGCTACAAGTCTTCCACCATCCTCCCCTCCTCCAACACCACCACTCGCTGCAATCGCTTCATATTTGTCCTGACTGTCGCAAACTAAGGATCTCGCACCGCAACACACTGCTCCTCTCCTAAAACGAAACCCTAAAACCAACAAGCAATCTCTGGCCATGAGATTTGAGCTTGTAATGCAGTCAGTGAGTGCATGCAGCAGGGCAAGCAGCAGCAAACCAAGTCTCCCGCTGCCATGAACTCTCACTCTCACTGCGTCTCGCTTTTAGGTCCCTTCCGGCGTTCGGTGATGGGCCATCGCCGTGCTCTCTCTGTTACGTTTTGGATGAATGAGAGCGTTCGTCCGAACCTCTCCTTGGATGAACGTGGCCCGATCCCATCGCAAGCCCAACGCAGAATTCTTGTCTTGTTCTTCGAATTGTTCTTGTTGTTGTTTGTTTTAATGCAATCCTCTTTCTTTTGTTAAATTCCGATGTGATGTATTAACCGGTTTTCAAATAATTTAAAGGGTCCTAAAATGAGACAATGTATTTGTGATCTAGTATTGTTGCTTCCAAATTTGAATTGGTCATTGTGTCATTTTAGAAATGTGTTTCCTTCTACACACAGGTGGTTGATTACATGAGGGGATTTATTTTATTCCATTTTAAAATAAATATTTAACTATGAGTTTGTGATATTGAATTATATATATATATATATATATATATACAAACATGTTCATAAAATAAAATACTTATGTCAAGGGTAGTTTTTTGTGTAAAACATCATAACTTTTTAGATTTACCAACCATTCCTCTAACTATTTTATATTATGGCTAATATATTATTTATATCCCACATGAAATCAAATAACATCAGTCCAATTTTTAATATGGTTTAAAATATTTTCAAAATGTAATCTCTGATCTATTGATATATTTGAACAAAATTATCAGTTTTAAGTTTGCAACAATCTTATATGTCTATTTACTGTACGGTAACCCAACAACTTTTTTTTTTTTGAGTTCATATTTTAACTCATTTTTCAAGTATACATATCTGACTGATTACCAAATAATTTAAAGAATCTTAATTTGCTTTGAGTTGAAGAAAGTTTGAATTTTGAAACATATATATATATATAATTTACTTTCATTTTATAAATATTAAATGACTAAAAAGAATATATGATATAAATAGATTTTGAAATAAATATACAAAAAATATAATCATCTTGAATATAGTTTTAGATTTAAACAAGTCCAATGGCACAAGGTCAATTGAAGATTTGAAGGCAACAGTTGGGAGTAGATAAGAGAGACATTCACAATGCTACCATTGAACTTGGAGGCACAAGAAGGTAGATTACTTAAAGATTGGGTAGTCACAGCATTAGACAATCATGAACTAGTATACAGAATATAATGGTAGCAGACAGTCAAACTTGAGGTAGAGTAATGCTGGGTAAGAGGCCGTGTATTTTTGAAATGTGTGCAGTAATCAAAGTTCATTATTGGATTGGTGTTTGTGCTACTAGTTCTAGACAGTTTATATAGTTTTATCTCATGCTTGCATATTACTCTAAGAGATTAAGTAACAGTTCCATATGTGACCATACAATGTTGGAAAAAAAAATCAAGTAGTGTAATGGGCATTGAGAGTTCATTATTTGTAATTTACTTGTTACGTAATTAAATTTTAATATTTGAATAAAAATACAATAATCATATTTTAATTTAAAATAAGTATTGTGAAGAAATATATGAACAACCGTTTCCTATGAAAGTAATAATCATAATAAATTCCAATGCTTACATTGTAAAGTATTTGCAAAGCATTCTAAAATGTGGGTTATAAATAATAAATCATAAGTAATGCAAGTTTGATGTACATTTAATAAAATCACTTTAAATTTTTTGGTATTCTTTTCTTGCCACCACCATACACGATTTAACCACCACATGTCCAAAATAAATACAATGGAGTCACTGTGAATGGAATATTACCATATCTAATTAAAATTTTAATTTTAATGGTTTAAATTAATATTCATGAATAAAATAAAGAGATTTTGCATAAAACATTTATATATATATATATATATATATAAATGTACACATGCACAAGAGTTATGTACAAAAAAGAGCAATGCTTACACATTGTTTATAAAAGAAAATTTATACTGTTCTTATAGAAAATTAATTGCTGTTCATAATTATTTTTGTTATAATAAAAATAGATATCAATTACCATCCAGTATTTTATAACATAATTTTTCATTCTTAATTTATTTAGATAATTTAAAATACAAAAGTCAAAAATATATATGTATTATAAAAATATTGAATTTAAGCATAAGTAAGATTTATCGCTACAGGACAAGTAATAACAATAAATTCTATTATGTAGTGTAATAATTAGACAATCATTTATTACGTTAAAATTTAAAATTTAAAATTTAGTTTTCTTTAGCAATACCATTTCTATTTTTATTTCTTTCATACCAAACTAAAACTTACACGGTTTGTCATTTCTTCGAAAGATTCATTACATCACCAAATAAACTGTAGGCACATCATGTCAAACCCAACAGATGCTTTTGTTTTTCTACCGTAATTACACATTTATGGGTTCTGGAGAATTGTATTATTAGAACTCAATACAGTCCCCAGAAAAGGAATCTGAATAACTTAAAAGCTGTTTTGGTGTACCCACGAGTATTAAATAAAAATAATAAATAAATAACATTATTCATCATTCATCTTCTAATGCAGTGTTTTGGCAAATGATCAGTGACACTGTAAACGAGAAAAGCTACAGTTCACAAAAAGCTAGTACTAAGATGATACATTGCTATTAAAGGGATACGAAGCACAAAGTCTATGAAAAGGTAACAACAACAACAAAGAGTTGCTGCAAACAAACCAAACATTACAATCCAAGTTTTTGTTACGACATCCATTGCGAAGCAAACTGTCGGTGAGGAAACGATGCGTGGAATCACACATCATCGGGAAAAAAGTGCTCATTAAATTGCTTACCTCATTCTACGATGGAATCGATAGCGGGGGTTGCTTCGGATAGTTCTAAAAGCTGCAAACACACTCTCACACACGCACACACACAAACACACAAACAAAGCAGCTCATGGAGTTCAAACGTGAGGGGCCGTGGGGGAGGATAAATGAGATTAGCAACATACGCGGAGTGGGTTTTGGATTCATTGAGCAATCAGTGGAGTAAACAGCATGGAAGCAATCATGCCAGTCTTACAATCTCCGCCACTCGCAGTGAGTGTCTGACAGGCGAGAAACGACACAAAAATAAAAACAAAACCCTAAAAAGAAAGAGAGAGAGAGAGAGAGAGAGAGAAAGCGCGAGACCAGGTGAGAGAGGGAGAGATGGAGAGAGGGAGTTATCTGGAAAATCCCACATGAATGTTGCGAGTTAATGGTGCTGCCACCTGACACAAGCCAATACTCTCGGCAGAAGCTAAATATATACATAATCCGGCAGGGAGGTTCTGCCGGCGTCAGAGACAATGGAGCCCAGGACAATGTTCCAAAAGCTACCGGCTTCGAGGCATTGAATGGCAACACAGCCTGGGCAATGATATCTCGTAGGGGGGTTGTCATAGCTAAGGGGAGCTTAATCACGATTGGAAGGGAAGAATGAATGGCAGGTCAGAGTGAAGCCTGCGCCATCAATCATTCCCTCAAGTCTCTCATCCCCTCCCTCCCTTCCTCACCATCACCTCTTCTCCTTCTTCTTCCTTTCCTTCTCCCTCGTCTTCCTCACCATCACCACTACTTCGTCTAACACAACTTCTCTTCTACCGCTACTCCTTCTACTCCTTCTTCTTCTGCTTCATCTCCGTCTACTACTTCTTCTTCCTCTACTACAACTTCTCCTCTATCGCTACTCCTCGTTCATCCGCCTCCGTTTTCATCCTCATGTTTCTTCATCCACCGCCCACCTATCCATTCGTTAATCTGTTCATCCACTCTTCATCTTGTTGTCTGAAACTGAGCGGGGCTTCTTTTTGTTCAGCTTCAGAGCCAACTTGATGATTAACTTCTGAAAGCAGGCTTTATGGAAGATTTTTTATTTCTTGTTCTGGGCATGAAGTTCTTTAATGATGTTCTTCTTTGAAATAAATAATTTATCACAAGAAAAAATATATATAAATAAATAAATTAGGGTCTGGTTTAATACGACTGTATGAAATCCACATATTGTCGTAGTAAGTTGGTGATTGAACCTCTGTTTTGGTTTGGTGAAGTGTACATCAAATTTAGACCCATGTATAATACATAAGCATACGTAATTACAGATGTTTTTCAAAATGATTATATTTTCCTTTACTTACATGCATATATTTATACATATCAATGTTTGTAAAATCATGTTTACTGCCCACCTTCCTTTTTCTTTTTCTTTCTCCAGTATCTTGATGTTGTGGAGATCAGTACCCATGAACAAAGATCAAACTTTCAGTTTTATGGTTCATGATAGTAAAAATTTAAAATAAATACACAATTTTTAATACTCAACAGCTAGTCCCTTGAAGGAGTGTTTATGTGGATCATTCACTTTGTTCAATATTTTAGATTGTGTCAGAATTTTAAAAATGAATGCATAACTGCAGAAACATAGAAAAAATCACATTTCTTTCTGCGTGTCAATAATACTTTGATTGGTAAATGGACAAAACATGAAAGAATACTTAGCATGATGATATTACTGCATTAAAAACCATGCTCATGTACATTCTTCCTTGAGATCTCCCCTAAGTTCAAATTACAAACTTGAAATTTGTTCAAAAAAATAATTGAATATTGACTCTTTTCTGCAGTACACAACAAAGGAACAAAACATACATCTGTTTCTAAAATGTATAAGGTGGGGCCATGGTTTATTTTTATCTACAGGGGCATTCTTTTGAGAGGTGTCAAATTGAATTGAAGAGAGCAAAGGAAGAGAGGCTTCTGTCCTTGTCCACTTCTGTTCCCTTCCTACTTCAATGGTATTAATATTTTTGCCCAGTTCATCATGCTGTTCTTTTTGCTTCCTTCTTTCCAAGCTATAGTGACAACTCCATTCTTTTGCTTGATGGATCATGCACAAGTGGTCTATTAGGGTATTTGTGTGTGTGTCCCTGGCATTGCCATTGTGTTTGTATATAGCTATGTCTCCCTGTATCTCTCTCCTGGCCATTGTTTCTTTCTTGTTCAGTCATGGCAGGCATTGATGGTGTAGCTTATGTGGCCTTCATGGCCATGATGTGCCTGTATTCCTCCTTTGCTTCTCCTCCAGCTCTCACCCTTCTCTCCTTTTTGGCTCATGCTCTTTATGAGACTGTAAATACTCATGTATTTATACACACACACATAATATCAGGTTGATGGCCATTACTCTTTGAATCAAATTTTTGGTTGAAACAAATGTTTTTGTTTCTTGTGGAAGAGGATTGTAAAAACCTGATTGTACATTGACAGTATTTTTTTTGTTTGCACAGTCGAAAGAAAACTTATAAAAGATAATTGCATGTGGGTTATTGTTAAAACAACAGAAAGTAATTGTGCTTTTGCAAATGAAATCTTTTAGGATAAATATATAAATAGTCTATCTGGCAAGTTCCAACACACGCATTGAATAGCATTACTGGGAGATAGTAGCTTCATTCTTGCGTATCTGAAGATCTCAAGTTAATTTTTAATGGAAGTCAAAACGATGCACCACATCCAGCTATCGTTCCCAATGAATAATAAATACATATAATGAAGAAATTGAGGTGTTTGTTGTTTGAAAAGTTGTCTGCTGTATTTGCAGTTAAAAAAGATCCAGCTTAGTTATAGTCCCAGAAAAAGAAATCTTACAGAAAACAGAGAAATCCAGGCCCTCACTGCCCCCACCATCATCATTCAATTATTTCAATATGCAAATAGTGAAACAACCCTCTAATACAAATATCACAATACAACTCCACAACATTCTCTCATTCTTTAAACAAACTTGTATTCATGCCACAGAAGTACTTGTTTGCAACACACAGAGTACAACCCACACTCATCGAAGTGGAAAGAGGTGTCGTTGACGAGGAATCGTGGAAGCCTAAGGTTTTTGACAAGGAAGGAAAGCAAATCCCCAAACCCTAATTTGCAAAATTGCAACCAGTATTGATAGTATGCCTTAGAGAGAAGGGTCGCGAAAGCTGCAGTGGGTGTGTGTGTACCGAAGCTTGCGGCGAGGGGCAGAGTGAGACAGTGTGAATCCATGATGGCAAGATTGTCCACTCCTCCGTGAGTCCCTAGAATTACTATCATACTAATACTCTACGGTGGTGGGGTACATTGGTGGAGGAGTAAGGGGGGGAGAGAGTACCGGAAGAGGAGAGTTGGGTACAAATGGTTGCTGGGTGGGGAACCTTTTGCCAGTGAATGCCCTGTAGCGCCGCATTTATGGTGTCTGTGCCCGCCCACTCATGAGCCTGCACTCCAACCCCAGACAATGCCAGGCCCCTGCTTGGTGGTTGTTGGTCAACTGCAAAGAGAAGGAGAGAGAGAGAGAGCGAGAGAGCCCAGTCTCTTCACTCTTTGCCTTGTGCACTGTGCCTTGAGGAGCCAGGAGACACACCATCAAGCCGGTCAAGAAGAAGGGCCAAGCATACCAACATTATCTCTCACCATGAAGACCTTGTCAATGCTTCGCCACCGCCGCAGCAGAACCAGCAGCAGCAGCAGCCGCATGAGTTGCAGCGTGCATTCTTCCAAGCCGTCGACGTTGTGAATGAGTGACATGCATGTCGGTGGTGCGTGGTTGACGGTGTAGAGTAGCTTGACGTGGAGGGAAGCTTATCGTACTGCGTGCTGCTTGTTACGGTTGGTACAGAGCTGCAAGAGGGACTCACGAGTATGTTTCAATCGGTTGTGATGCTGTAGCTCTTTCCGATTTTCTCGTGCAGCTGAGGATGCGAAATAAGTCTCAAGGTTCGAGGTTGAAGGAATTTCCTCCCTTTGGTATCGTTGGCAACTCGCAGCAGCAGCTGGTTGTTCGAGTTGCGAGTTACTGGGTTCTACTTGGGTGAGGATAGCGGTTATTACGTACAGTGGTCTGCGGTAGAGGTTGTAACTGAGAAAATAAATCGAGACACTGCAATCTTTGAGAGGCTTTTGACAGTGAGTCTATCTGCGAACAAGCAGCGAAGCGAATTTGTGTGATGTGGCTTAGCACATTGTCCTGCAGATTCTCAATTTGGTCTCATTCCTTCGTCCTGCGCCATTTAACTGCTTCAAGTTCTTGGTATTCCTTGGAGAAGCGCGTGGTGGAGTTGTACTGCGGACATTGGCTTTCTGCAAGGTTGGAAGCTCTCAAGTAGGCTTCTTTTGAACTCCACCAATCGCAAGCTTGGACGACTCTGACAGTGTTCCTTCCAACCTTGCTCGAAAGGCATCTCCGTCCTGATTCTGCTTCCAGCGCTTCAGACAAGGGATATAGCTGCATTTTAACCATATCCCTATGACGACGTCGAAGAAGATTAGGAATTTAGAGGCACTCCGTGCAGCATACTGTTCTGACACGCACAGCTGTAAAGATAAAATTTGAAGGCAGCTCGGTTCAAGGTTGTGAAGGTTTTGCGGGTAGGAAGGAATTGAAGCCGGCGAAAGTGAAGTTTGGGAGGCTTGAAGAAAAGGCCATCCTCAGAGAAGGTATGACGTCGCTGTCTTTAGATACAAGCTGCACAGAGGGCGCCAGTCTGCTGACTTACGATTGCCATCGAACGGTACCAGCGCCCTTCTTGACGAAGACATATCACCTTGTTGATGACCCTGCCACTGATGACATTGTGTCGTGGGGAGAGGACGAGACGACCTTCGTGGTCTGGCGACCGCCAGAGTTTGCACGGGACTTGCTTCCTAATTACTTCAAGCACAATAATTTCTCCAGCTTTGTTAGGCAGCTCAACACCTACGTAAGTCGATCCACTTAAGGGACGTTGTAAAATATCAGGATGATCGAGATTTGAGAAAGGTGAAATTTGAAAACTAGGCTCGAGAAGACACCAGGGTTGGGAGGGCATTATGTCGGGGTTAAACTTAGAATCCACCGCTATTTGAGATTGTCCTCAAAGACTGAATGTTGCCGACAGTGGTGCACATGTGCAAGAGCAAACAAGAGAAAGACATACACTTCCTTATGTCAGAATGGAAGGGTTCTGTTGTAAGATCTGTGCACGTGCATAGACTGGCTGTTGATAGTAACATCGTATAGTGCTAACGTCTCATTGAAGAATGACCAGAGTTAGCCTGATTCGTTTACTTCGTCGTTGCACAGGTTGAAGCTGCCTTTGGCTGAAAATCGATTACAACTGAATCGGATCACATTCGAATGACGTGGTTGAGATTGCATCCGTTGTAATGTATGTTGGTTCGATTCTCCAACTTGAAAGTCTTGGTGAATAATATGGTTGGGGCTTGTCATTTCAGGGTTTCAGAAAGATAGTGCCAGATCACTGGGAATTCGCCAACAAGTTTTTCCGACGCGGGGAGAAGCACCTGCTCTGCGAGATCCATAGGAGAAAATCGTCAACACATGCCTCTGGACCCTTCAGTCTGTCATGCGACGCCCCCGGCAGCCAGTCTACATCTCCCACCAATTCAGGGGAAGATCAGGCTTGGTCCCCTTTTCCATCCCCGTTGTCGTCTCCGAGCACCATTCTAATGCCACAAGGTGCTTCCACGCTCATGTCGGACGAAAATGAGCGCCTGCGTCATGACAACCGCATGCTGTTGCTGGAATTGTCACGTCTGAGAAGGCTCTACGATGATCTCGTTGTTATCCTTCAGCAACAGTCCAAGGTCTCATTGCAAGAGCTTCCCAGTCCCAGCTTGAGTAGGTCAGTGATCCTCGTGCTCATAACCCTTGGCATGTTACATTCCTCAAAGCTGTCCCCACTCAGATTCTGCGCAGAGTTGGATTTAGGGATTCGTGTACCAGCTTTAGTGTTCATTCTCACCCCCACGGGTGCCCCTTGCACGCTGAAATATTTAAGGAGATGCTTCAAGGCACGAAGTCCGAAGTCTTTCCCAATTCCCGAGACGGTCTCCGTATGTATGTCGACCTCGAGTCTCTCATACGTATAAATTCTGTGCGTTTCAGGGACCAAAAACTCGCCGTCTCCATCTCTGAACAAATTGAAGCTGCAGCCCGGCGATCGGAGATACGCGAACTCAACGCTCTCCGCTTTAACACCAACTCAAGTAGCCATCTTCGGCCGCCGACAGTGGACTCGACCTCTGCTTCGTGCATCGGCCACCTCCTGAACCGACCACAAATACAGCTCCACCGCGCTGACAATTCCGTCACACCGAAGGCTTCCACGCTCTCCTTCCTGGATGGCAAGCTCCGTGAGATGGCGTCAAACACCTCCGCCCAGATCATTGCCTCTCCCCTCGGCGACGATCAAGCCAAGCCACCACAGGCAGCACCCAAGCTATTCGGTGTCTCCCTTAACGGCAGTCCTGTCGACGCTTCTAGCTCCTGCCACAAAAGGCCATGGAGCTGTACTACTACTCCAGGTTTTGTAGATGATCACGCCACCATCCCCCCGTCCAAGAAAATAATGTCGCATGTTCGGCGTAGCGAAGAGTCTGCACCGGCGACCTTGCAACGAGGAGGTGGAGGCGTAGGGAATGGAGCAGGCGGAGGAGGAGGTCCAGTGTCAACAACAGCAGCAGGGGCTGGCGTCGCCATCGCTGCCTCGAGCGGTGCTCCGGCGAAGTGCATGAAGGTGGAATTAGGGTTAGAGCTCCGCATTAGTGCTACTTGCGCAGCTGCTGAGCGAGGCTTCATGTGAGTAGGAGGAGGAAGGAAGAAGTAGACGAAGAAGATGATGAAAAAGAAGCTGATTTTTGTATGTATATCTATTTTTTTTAAAGAAAGGAATTTGGTGTCCCTTTACATGCCTCATTGATGAGTGATTGGTTCCTGGAGGTTACTTACCAAATATGCACATGTTCATTTGTATTATTTACATGATTATATATATATATATATATATATAGGGGAATGTTAAATAGACTCATGCTTTTAAAAAATTGATCCACCCATCCTAACCATCATGCAAAAAAATAATTACCTTTACATTTATTTTTCCACTATCAATCCAAAATCAATGAAAACCAAACACATTCATCATGATTATCATATTATTTTTATTTTTATCATGGATAGGTCAATTTAGTAAAAAGCTGGGTCTATTTAACATTTCTCTTTAATATATATCCTTAACATGAATATGTATAATACACATTTACATGTAATATATGACAAATGATGGTTATTAGAGATGGGATACAAACAATGAAGAGATGAACATGAAGCATGAAGAAGAGTTCTTGATGTCAAAAATCATGTTTGAATTTTGATTACAAAATATGGACATAAATTAAGAGAGATTTTTGATGGAAGGTTATGTGAAATTCACAACCAACATTTTGAAAGGAGAAGATGTCTTAGAAGCAATTTTTGTGTTCAATGAACAAGTTTTAATTGGCATTTATGAAGTCTTAAATCACTTTATATGTGCGAGTTTTTACTGTGGAGTTTGTGGACATTCTTACATGATCATTCTAGAGTTCAATGAAAAACATATCTTAACTGCAATAAGACATAATTTCTATTAAAGTACACAATAATTCAAATCAAATATCTCTTTAATATTTATATTTAGATATTTATAAATGAATATGTGACAATCAAAATAGTTCTATATTAGAATAAATATTAAATAATTTTATTAAAGTCATAATATAAAAATAAATTATATAACATAGTATATTTTTGTTTGGTTTATAAATGTTTGAATGTTTAAAAAACCAAAAGAACCTCTATTTTGATTTAAAACACATTATTCTTTCAAATAATAATACATTGTTATTATTTGATAATTTTAAAAATCTCAATTCTAAACTAATTTCAAGTATAAATACAAAGGACTATTTTATCAAAATATTATAAAAACCATGAGTCATATTTAATTTAATATTATAATTTCATAATTTTATATTATAACATTCCTACTAATAAAAATCATGATAAATGAATGATATGATAATTCTTAGAATGTTTAAATGTTTCTAATATAGTTTTACTTTTTTGAATCAATGATAAGATCCAACAAATTGGGTAATTGGATAGACTAGTACACATGGAATAGTAATACTTAGATATGGAAATTAATGCCAAACCTTAATAGTAGAAACAATGTACCATTAACATTATAGGTAATCTTAAATATTTTTTGTCTTTGAAAATTTTAATGATATGATAATTCTTAGACAAAAAATATTTAAGATTACTTGTAATGTAATTTTATTTAAATCTCACATTTTACTTTGGAATTCCAATAACATCATGAGTTTTAATAAAATCAAATATAAATAAAGGTACTTTTTTTGTATCCGTTTTATAAAACAATTTTTATAAGAAATAAAAAATATATATATATATATATATATATATATATATAATTTGAGTTTTCAATTTTTCAAAAAGTAACTTACAGCAAAAATAAATGAAATCATTAAATAAAATAATTACTTTTTATCATATTATTGTGAGTGACATACATAGAATAATACAACATAAAAACATTCTTTGTTTAGTTTTTCTGAAGTATATCATTTATTGTAAAAAGATCATTTTTTTAGTATATCCAACTTTTATTTAAATAAATAAATATGTTATTACTTTAATAATGTATTTTTAGTAGGTTTTTAGCTATGGAAAATATTAGTATATTAAGAAGGAGCTTAATGCTATTAAAAATTATTTGAAAAATTAAAAACTATAAAATTTACTTTCTTTTATTATTTTATTTAGAAATATTAATAATAAGACATCAATTTTAAATAATAAAGAATTCTTCAAATAAGCTTAAAGATAATTATTAATTAGTTAACACATATCAAAAAAACTATTAGAAATTTTAAAAAAAAAAAATGAATGCCAAAATGATTTTTTAACATCTAAACATTAGTTAAAAACTAGAGACATTAAATTTTATTATTGTGTAGGTTTAATTTTTTATTTACTAATAATTAATATTATTTAAAAATATTAATTAAAAAAATATTATATTATATTTTAAAAATTATAATTAAAATCATATAAAATATTTAAAAATTAATTTTTAGATAAATTTACATGTATATTTGTGTATTGTAGTTTCTTGTAATTGAATTACAAAAAAGATTCATATTCGGTTTTAAAAAGAAAATTCCAGTTTATGATATAAAATAATCACAAGTATTTGTGATTATTCCAGTTTATGATATAAAAATTAACTAAGACTTGGTTATTTATATTTTAGTATATTCAATGGTAGTAAGTTGTGTAAAACAGTTTTCTTTGTTTAGGGACCAAACCAAGTGATAAAAGATATTTCCATTAAAATGAATCTCTAATGGTTATGATGTATTACATTATTAAAAACCATAATTTTTTGATTAGTTAGAATAGTCCATTGCAAGTAATTCATGTAGAATCAAAAATTTAATCAAGAATCGAGTTATTAGTTAGTACATTAATTTTTAGTCTCAAGCAGTTGTGGATTATATATCTATATATCTATATATAATCCACAACTATATATATGTTAATGTATATTTATAAAAGAGTCTATACAGAAGTTAAATAAATAATGATATCAATTTTAATTTTAAAATTAAATCAATTATATATTCTAAAAGTAAGTATTTATTATATTTCTTTATTTATTTAATTTATTAAAATTTTAATTAGAATTTATCTACAATTTTATTATAATTGTTTTTAATGTGTAAAAATATGCCAAAGTTCTAAGATGAATCTTGTTGTATTCTAAGTTCTAATAGAATAAAATTTAAGTAAGTATTAAAATATCAACTATATTATATTTTTTAATTAAATATATAAATTATTAAATAAGTAAATGATATAAAATTTAAATTCAATTCTTTAACAATACTTTTCAATCATCGTATATTTTGTAGATTAATATCTTAATTTTAAAAAATATACATATTAGCATACAATATTCTAGAAGACTATTCTTTCATAATTCTAAAAAACAAATAGCCTTTAAGAAATTTCATGTACTATATACTTTGTTTAAATCTTTATTAGAAATCAATTCTAGATTTAAAATAATTCTAAAGTACATAGAATAGAAATTAAAAAATCAATAAAATCAGTAGAAATAGTTTAATTTATTAAAAAAAATTTATTGTTCACAAGAATAATAAATATAGACTTGTATATATATATACATATATACAAATAATATTGACTTAATTATCTTTTAAATTGTATAAAATGTATTGTAGTAGTTTTTTGTTTTTAATTTTATGTGCAGCTACTTGAAATATTTGAGAATATGTTCTAATATCAAGTGCAGCTCACATTGTTTGAAAATAAATAAAACCGTAATAAACTTAAAATAATTACACTAATAATAGGGAGAAGAATCAAATTTAAGTGTTTATAAGAAATTGTTAATTCTAAATAAAATAATAATCATTATAAATGATTTAGTACATAATTTAAAAGACCTTTAATACTAGAAAGCCAATACAAATTCTTCCTATTAAATAAGATTTTACTATTAATATAAATATAAGAAAAACTCTATACACTTATATTGTAGACTATCATATTCTAAGTTCTTATTTTTAAATTTGGGGAGACTATATAATTCGGAAAGATGAAATATATTATTATATTATATATTTATAAAGTATTTCATATTTTTAATATTATCATATAAAGTATTAATTCATAGATAAAAGTAATTTTAAAGATATATACTTTATAAAAAAAGTTCCTATTAATATTTAAGAATGATTGAAGTCCCATATAATTTACACATGTATTTTCAGAACAATAGATTATATATATCAAATAATTATCATTAATTTTATAAATTTATAATGATTCACATGTGTCATTTCAAATAATTTAAAAGTTAGAAATTGAATTTTAAATATATAAATATTTTTTAACTTGAAGAAGTCTAATAAATTTCTTTGAGATATTAGTTTAAAAAATAACCTAATAAAACTAAAAATTAAAATGTGAAGTATTTTAGTTTTATAAATTATCATATTGTATAATGAATATTAGAAATTGCAAATTTTTATGTATTTTAAAATATGTATTTACACATTTATTTTAATTTCTTAAGCTATATCAAATAAAAGAAAAGATATATAAATAATATTATTATTTTTTAATGGTTGATGATCTCATAATTATTTTAAAATAATAATTATTAAAAAGAAAAAATTCTCATAAAAAATCAAAAATACCTAAAAATAGATAAAACATCAAATAATTTCAATAAAAACCTTAATGTATATAATTTAATATCTATTTTTTCTCTTTATACATATAATTTAAAATATTCAAAATATGTTTGAAATAAAAATCATTTTATACTTATTTAGTTTAATTGTAACTAATAATTTTTATTAAAAAGATATACATTATTTTTAAAGATTTTTTATTGCAAATAGCATCTCAAAATGCATGGTATAATCATAAAAAATATGTCTTCTAATTCCTTGTGTTGTTGTATGTGCATGTTGCAAATTTAGAGCATTTGGTATTATTGCTTGAGCCATAAAAAGATACAAGAAATGGAGTTTGATGGCTCAATGAATGTCTATTGTAGTTATATAGTTAATATATGCAACAGCATGCAAACACTTATGTTGATTTTTTTAATAAAAATATGATGGATTTGTGTTGTTCAAGATGTGAGAGCTGTTTGTGAGCATTTATTGCAACCTGGCTATAATGCTCTTGTCTTTAGTAAACTTCTTGCAACTACATGTCAAGAAGTAATGACAAATAAGGTGACCTTTGTAAACAATCTCTACAAACCACAAAAATTTAAGAAGAATTTGTTTGGCACTAATAAGAATTGAGTTAGGATAAGCTATACATTAAAAAATCTTAAATTATCTACAGTTTATAACTTCTTTAATCTAGAGAAAAAAATGCCAATTAGATTCAAAAAGATCAATTATAGAACTACTTACGACTTGATTCTAGCACTGCATAAAGGTTGTGCACTGATATGCAGAAAACTCTTGCTTGCAATCTGAAAGAATATTCTTGTTAATATGCTAAATACAAAAATTGTTGATTGTCATTACATCAAGTATGTTAATAAAATAAAATTTACATTAAATCTAAAATGATAATTTTTTATATTTTTTATAATATAAAATTAGCATGTTATTAGGTCTATTATAAATATATTAATATTTGTATTTAGTAAAATATATTCAATTTCAAAATGTTTTAAAATTAAAAATCAAAAAATATTTATAAAATATTATAATAAAATTATTAGACATTACTGGTATATAATTGAAATTTATTTACATAAATTATGATCTATCAAATTTTTAATTTAAGTTAAATGATATTATCACAATATATTTTTCTAAGTTTTTTATTTTATTATATTTTTAAATTTTTTTATTTTTATTTTTATTATTTATTCTTTATTTTTAATTTTTTTTAATCAATATTTCTAATTTTAGTCACTTATTATCTCAAAAAATGTATTTGAAAAGGTTTAATTTATGTACTTCCTTGCCTACAAAGACAACACTAACAACTAACCTTCATATTTTCTACTAGTAGAATTAATATTCTTGCATATTTCACTTCATCATGGTTTTTAAAAACACTTAATTGAATTAGGAAGAGTATAAGGCCTTCAAATGTTTTTCTATTTCTTCAATATGACCTCCCAAACTAATAAAAATGATTTTTACCAAAGACTTAAAAATTGCACTACAACTTACTTAATAAATCTAAAAAAAATCTTTATAAAAAATTAAAATTTATAAAATAATATAATAATAATAAAATTAAATTAAGGCTATTTTTTCCTATCTTTGAGATTTTTTATAGTAGTTTAATTAACTTAAATAAACTAAAAATATTATTTCTTATATAAAAAACTAAAAAGATACGAGGATCTTTTTTTATACTTTTTTAAACTACTAACTCATATTTAAAGTTTTTTTTTAATTTAAATTATAAATAATACATATAGCTAGAAGGCCAATGTAGATATTAACCTCGATAACTAGACAATAATACTTAACAATAAGCAAAAATATTAAACAAATTAAGATAATTTCTTATAAGACTTATTAAGATATTATTTTAAATTTTTTTTCTAATAAGACTCTTGTAAAGTGTAAAAAATTCTAAATTCTATAAAATAATTTTATTATCAAATAAAATTTCCAATATTAATATATTTATGTCTAAATAACTTAAGAAAATATTTTTAACCAATCCACCAATTAAATCCGTTGGTGGGATTCAAATTTGTATTCACATTTTTTTTGTAATATTTTAAAATAATATACTACGTACAATTTTTTTATTTACTTTTATTACTTCTATTTAAAAATATATTGTAGATATAAATTTAAAAAATTGAGTTATAAAACATATGAGAATATATATATATATATATATATATATATATATACATACTATAGGATTTTTAATTTATAAATAAAGTTATAAAATTTAAATATAAATTTATATATGAAGACATGGTATGTTTTGAAATAATTATATTGAATCACAGGTCCTTTTTAAGATTTGAATAAAAAGAAGTTGATATTATATGAGTATATATTACTTCCTAAAGAATATATTCTTATAAGAGTAATTAATATTAAAAATCATTTGTTTATGTAAGTATTTAAAAATTAATTAATCTATTATTATGCTATCAAAAATTAATTTTTATTTTTTTTATTTTTTTAAATCATTTTATTACATTTTATCGTAAAATTTATATTCTTATAAATAATATAATCATTGCACAAAAAACCTTTATCTAAATTTACAGGAATATATTGATATATAAGCCTTTCTAATTATAATTTTTAAAAATATTTATATTAAAATATTTAAAGTATAATTTTGTAATTTTTTGTACTATCTAGAAATATATATGCACTGTTTTGAAATTACATATATTCTAGGAAAAATAGTAATTATATATATATTCTAAGAAAAAAATATATGAATTACTTCTCAATTGTAATTTTTGACAAATATTTTAATTTTTAAGACCGCACTTAATTTATTTTACTATGGAAATTTAATATGGATATATATATATATATATATATATATATATATATATATATATATATATATATATATTATTTATTACAATTTTATTAAAGAATCCAATATTTTTTGACTTTGATTTAAACTTTTAAAAAAGAAATTGTTCTTTTACAATTAAGAGACTCATTGAAGAATCAAACAAATGTAATTATGAAAAAATAATTATTTTTATTAAATATATCTAAAAAAAATATGTTTATATATATGTACTTTTAAAACCAATTTTTTAGGATTTAAAAATTATAAGTATTAAATTTCTAAAAATGACGTATTTTATATAATTAACTAATGAAACAATCAAATTTATATAAAAATGCATTACAGATTTCTTGTTAAAATACATAGCAGAAAAACTTCCAGATATTTTTATTTAAAAAAAAGATTAACTTTTAAATTTTAGTTTAGATAACTTATTAGAGAAGATTATAAAAATTAATATTACACAATATGTATATATATATATATATATATATATATGTGTGTGTGTGTGTGTGTGTGTGTGTATTATTTTTTATGAACTATTTGATCTAACTTTTTTGGTATATTTAATATTCATTGTGTACATTACCAATATTTTTGACTTTCTCAGATTAAAAATTAATTTAATTAGACCATTGTATGATACATATAAAAGATGTAAGAATATTTATTGATATGTTATGTTGTAGATACTGAGTTCATTGAGGTTTTAAATAACAAATTTAAGAATTCATAAGAAAAAATAATTGCATTTTGCACAATTTGATAGTAGAAGTTTTGATGTATGCTGTAGCATATATGATAATTTCAAGGTTTCGGTTAATAAGAATAGTAAATATAGGTCAACATTGAATTCCGATTACTTAAAATGTATTCGGTCAACATTATCATGTTGACCAATACATTTTAAAATATTAAGTACATTGTTTAAAAAATATATTATTTATAATATGTAAAATGTCAAATTATATTGCATTCAAAAAATACTTATATTACCACAATTATACAAAAAGAAAAAAGAAAAAAAATCTGGAAAAAAAAATTCTATTTATAAACTATTAAAAAACCAAAAACTCGAAGAATCAAAAATTATATAATAGAATAAAAGTTACTAGACATAAGCTTAAAAAATCAAGTATATTAGATTTTTATTAGAAAATAACAATAATATTGAAACTAATTATCTTTTTTTAGCTTTGAATTTAATTTTAAAAATAAGGTTGGTTTACATGCCTATCATTAAATAAAATGGTTTTAAAATTTATTATGAAATAATAAGGTTTTCTGCTAGCATTATATTTTCCAAAGTTTTTTAGTATTATGCCTATTTTAAGCAAAAGAATTGATATATGGTTAAAGAATTTCTTGGTTACGTTAGTGACTTCAGAATGTAAAAATATAAATTGCTAGCTAATACATGCAAATTACATGTGAAATTGAGTGATATTAAAGATGCTAATGCATCAAAATACATAAATGTTTGAAATGCATAATAACTAATTAACTTTTTGGATACTTTTTATCTTTTATTTGATTATAAGAATATTATAATTTGTAAAATATGATATTATTTTTAAAATTTTAGATGTAAGTATTGATATTAAAAATGATTCTATCTTTTTAGAAGTGAATAATATTAAAAAATATTAAATTTTTTATATATTATAAAATATTATTTCAATGCCTTATTAATTTTAAAAAAAACCTAAACTTAGATAACTGATTTATCCTCCAAAAAATTAAAGTTTATGTATTTATGTTGCTTTGAAATGTATTAATAAGATTATTTTTATTTTTATTTTTCTAAATGAAATGTTTATGTATTCAATTATTCTTTTTGAATTCCAATTTTTGAGATATATGTCACATATTGTGGATTTAATTGCTTTCAGATATCTTATTGAGATATATATATATATATATATATAGAGAGAGAGAGAGAGAGAGAGAGAGAGAGAGAGACTTTAAAATGACTTTAAATACACTTATATATTTAAGTTAAGGAAAAGTTCAAATGCAAAACAAAATAAACCATGGTAAAATAAGAAATTCTATCCAAAATCCAAGAAGAAAGTTATTAGGTGTACGTTGAATCCAAACAAAAGTCCAAGCACTGATCATGTCTGAATACCTTGGTGTTGGATGGTGTCTGCAATCAAACTGCAATGGTACTAATTGAAAAATAGACCACATTCTAAGACAACATTTAATGAGGAAACGTAGTTTCAGGAAGAGGATATCCTTTATCCTTGTCATTCGAAACAACTAAGTAAGAAATTGTTCACAAATATTTACATACTTAATTGGATGGTAGACGGGACCCAACCCTGAGAAGTCTGTGCCACATTGAATATTTACAGGAATTGGGTAATTGCAGGAGATTATGTTTAGGATACTTGCTGTACAGCTGAGATTATTTCGAGTTTCATACGAAGGTTGGGATTTTTAAAAACATAATCGGTTCCTAATTACATGGCGGTGACTTACTAAACTTGAAAAATCTGCAGATCGTCCATCGTTGGGCAATCTACGATGCGCAGATTGTGCTCATTTGCTAAGTGAAGCAGGCAAATGAAACACAACTGCACAGACACATCGTCACTCTCAGTGGCAGCGTAGTCCTCCGGCAGAACATTCAGTAGATTTTGGAAAGGTCTGGCATCCTTCTCAGACTCACCCTGATGTGTTGAATGAGCATATAAAGCGTTAGCGTCAGCATCATTTTCGAATTTGAGTAGCTTTTCACCTCGATGATCGATGGGAACTTTTCACGTGAAGCCCACGTGCTTCTTCCAATGCTATGTACTTCAGAACTTAAAGCACCACAATCATCTAAACCAATTGGATGCGTGCAACAATTCACCATGAAAAAACAAATTCTGTTTGGATAGCCCTTTTGCAATGAGTTGGAAAATACTTACCTCGTCAATAGTGGCCTGGATATTCTGGAGGTGGGACCAAAGAGATTCTTTCAAGTTACGCACGTCAACTTGCTTTGATGTTTCATCGTCGTTAACCTTGACTTTCTGGATCTGTGTCACGGTCTGACGTCATTACATACAAGAATTCGACTCTCATAATTTGAAACAAAAATTTAACTCTCATTAAATATATATTTATATATATATATATATATATATATATATATATATAAATAAATGCAGAAATGTCACCTTGCGACGAACAGCAACCAAGTTAGTGCCTAATGGATCCCCAATTTCACCGTCACCATCGATACCAGTCCAGTCACCATGAGAGCAATCCATTCCCGAGTCGTCTCCTGAATTGTATCCGTAGTCCTGTACGGAAGGCCCAGGGATATTCCTCTGTATTTGACGATCTGCACAGCAGCTTCTAATTATTTGTACTGCATTGAGACAAAACATCAGATACAAAAACATTCAAGACATCGAATGCAGATAAAGAAGACACCCACCTGCAATTAGATTTTCCCTCTTCAAGATACACAGCGTGAGCAAGGTGAAGTCGTTAGTGTACATTTCACAACCACTTGCAATCCAGCTGCACTTGATATAAATTTTCCAATTACATAAACAGTAGCGTGCTTTACAAGACATCGCAAACAGTATCACTTACCAGAACAGATGGGCGAAGAAATAGGTGCACGAGGTCCAGAGCTTCATAATGCACGTCATCTGGAAGAAGACCATTAAAAGATGCACGCCGTTGCGAAAGAACTGTCGACCGAACGACCTGAGCTGGATTGAAAAGTGACAAATCTATCTCTGAAGGATTCTCGAAATCAATCACTAAAGGTTGCCGTTTCTTTCTTTTGACTTTAAAAGGTCCTGAAATTTCTTCTTTGCATTGTCCACGTATGCCATCTGCAAATCTAAAAAATAGGTCATACTTAATAATGACTTGCTAACTCACGCACCAGAAAGTATTGCAGATTACCAAAACGTTAACCCTATTCTCACTCTTGGATATATCATACCACATGACACTAAATCATATGCGAGGGGTATATTGTACCTTGAGGGTTTCTATATTTACAATGATCAGGTCCAGCCCATGCATTGGACTGGTATATTAAGCGAGGGTTCATCCACTGAACGGTTGTATGGTTGACAACACTTCCATCTTCAGTATACTCCACTTCTCCCCCACCGACCCCCTTAAAATAGTAAAACAACCTAAATAAACAGTTTAGGACAACTTTGGTCACTATTCAAACCCTATAGCCGAAGCTAATTTTTTCAGCATTTGTCTCAAGAAGAGATTATGGTATAGGTCTAAAAAGAGCACTACTGGTCGCCAGACCGATTACAGCTTTTACAAATAAGCATAATGATACAGGAGGATAATTGTTAGATCATACATCACAAATAAACCAAGTCTGTGAGGTAGAAAGCTATTTTTGGCTTCCTGAACCATTCGCAGACCACAAATGAAGAGTACCAACTCCCAGTTACACAAACGCTGATTATTTATATGGTGTTGATGATGATGAGGAACGATTCCAGCCAAGTACAGCAAGATAGAATTGTACTAGCCTCTTCGTCTCCCAATTCGGGATTTGAACCATGCAACAGATTCGCATCAATGTCGTCATCTATTGCTTCAAGCCCTTCATCCAGATAATTGACTTCTTGGTGTTCATCACTTTCCGTACAATCAAAAGCTTCATCGGCGTCATTGACAGAATTGTCACTGGTATCTCCAATTTGCCAAGATGAGAACACATCTCCGTCGACAAATAAGTTACAGGATTGTTTAGCTGCATCTTCTGCTAAGGTTGTCGTCCGATAAGGATCGTCTAACATTTTTACGATTTCGCTTGAAGAAGGTGATATTTCACTATCTTTTCTTAAATGCTCCAGCATCGCTTCAATACTATCAGTAGGAATATAATATAGTACGCATTAAGCTTATACATGTGTTTACATCAATAGTCACCATGGTGAACCATTACACAAACCGGCTTGTTCAGAGAAGGGTCCAAAAGCACGGGATGGTTTACCTTTGATGAAGCACAGCTTGATAGCAGCGTTCTGCTCAGCATCGTTATTAGCTTGGACCAACATACTCCTCTCAGGTACTTCCCAAGAGTCAAACACAATCTCACATCCTTGAAAAATGGAAAGGGAATTGAGAAGAAGACCTTTAGCTCCACCTTCATCAAATAGCGCTGATGTTTGCTGGAAAAGTGGATCCACAGCGAAAGCCACTGCACCCTCCAATTTGTCGAAGAACTTAAGGCGGAATTTTTTGACCAAGCTGGATTATCCAGGGGAAAATTTGGATGGTCACAACGACCTCTACCTCACTCTCCATGTTTCAGGAAACATTCCATCAAGACACAGTCATCCTAGAACAGAGTTATAAGAACTACTTACAATCAATTTGTTTGACATTCAGAGAGTCGAACGATGCTTCCAATGTGCTGGAGGTTCTACTACTCTACAAATCACACATCCCTCAACAAGAGTAAGAGGAATCTGATGCATTAGTTACGTTGAAAAATCTAAATCTGTGGCAGCCTAGCAGGAGTCAAGTTGGGAACAAGTTCCACAACTCTAACCATCACCGTCAAAATTCAGATAACATGTTGCTACACACCCTAAATACAATGTCCGAGCATAGTTATAGTTTCCGCTTACTCTCTTGCTGGAACAATTTCTGTGCTCTTCTTGGTTACTTGCAGCTTGTTGACAATCTACATGGCCGTCCACAACCAGAACCATGGAAGACGTTTCAGAATGGGATCCTAGAGATTAAACCACATGTATACGTAGGTGCCTAAATTAGATGGTCCTGAATCTCACAGCAAAAGCAAACACAGTCAATATCAATAGGCAAGTGATGCACTCTGAAGAGTACACTAGAGCATGAACGACATCGCATTGTGATCAGAGTATATTGACATGTACTACATGAAATATATTCATAACTACCGTTGTTAACTCCAGCTGTACGATTAAGGCTGCTGAGCACTTTGTAAGTCTCGAAATGCACGGAATCTACTCTCGTGGAGTATATTTTGACACCTGCTTCCAACGTACAGCTAGCCTGCCACATTATCCAGAAAATATGTATCACGACCTCGTTTTAACATCAGTAGCGTCAAGTTCAACGATTAATCGTTAATTGATCAGACTAGAATTTGCTCAGGTGATACTCTCGTCTATATGTTACCAATATTGCATTATACCCAGAGAAAAACATTAAGCATACTTTTCGTGAGTAGAATCTCAAAAACTGTGCAAAACATGAAACACAATAGCAAGTGTTGCCTTCTGAAAGCTGTCTTGGTCATCTTGTTCATCATCTCCTTGGACAAGAGCACTAAGATGATCAATCAACTTGAGGTCCCATGTATTGCTTTGCGTGATTTCTACAAGTAACACAAAGTAATCGTCATCACTCGATATATTGCCGAAAAACTCATTCTCTTAATTCAAACAACTTAACTCTGAAAACAACGTGCAGTACAAGTAGAACCTGGCTCCCGCCGAACTAACATGCCGAATTTACCAATCCAAAGTCTATGGAAAATGCCAGCATGCACAAATGCAACACCATCATGCAGTGATACGTGACCCCTTTAAACGCAGGAAGAACCCCCTCAAATTGTCTGTTCATGGTCCTAAGCCACATGACACGCTTTCCTATGCGTTAATCTCATGAGAAGACACGAAAGCAATTCTAAAAAGGTATCATGATCAAAATCTTGTTGAGTAACTAAGCTGAATTTCATTGTTACTCCCTCCCGATGTTCAGACGCATTCTCCCTGGCAATCTTGATGCAACTACTTTTGAAGTCTAAGACATACTCAGGTCTAACCACACATATAGTACACTAATTCAGTAGAATAATTGAACGAAAATCCACTTCTACACAAGGCAACCGACATTCTCCGCGGCGAGCTTGATACAATTTTTGTGTAGCTCCAAGATATGCTCCCAGCAGAGAAGATTCGATTCCTGAGATGCAGACGCAGAGGCATATGTGAAGAACACGCCAGCGCCGATGCCAGACTTGCGACCCAGCGCAGCTGCTCTAGCCCTGCGCACCTGCGCCTGCTCCTCGTCGTCATGCGGCATGAGCAGCAAGCCTTGACCGGGGGACACTGCCCGATCCTTCAATGGTGTCCTCATTGTCGCTTCGCGCCGCTGCGCTGGTTTGTATGAAGTGGAGGGACTTCAAATGCAAGCTCGACGGAGGTGGTGACGAGTGTGTCGATTGCGAATGCAGGGCAGCGATCGTCACTCCCTCCAGCAAGTTCCGAAGGCGGGTAAACTTCAGTATTTAAATATTCTTGCCAGTGTGGGGAAAACGACGGGCGTCATGTCCGACGTGGTTACTATACATCTGATGTGGCCAATTGTAAGTGCGATATTTGCCCTAAGTGGCATCTACACACGCAACAAGTATTCCAATGTGTGTATTTTTTTTGTGCAAGTGTATTTTTTTTTGTGTGTATATATATATATATATATATATATATCCATTGGGCCCCTTGTAATGGAGGTAGTATGTAAAAAATAGTTATCAAGTTGTAATATAGAGCAATACAATTTGGATGGATGTATGAACACACAAGCATATATCTCCTTACCATTATTTTAATTTATTTAAAAATATTAAAAATATATTTTGGTTATTTTAAATATATTTTTTAATATTTCAAAATACTTTAAAACTTAATATAAAACCAAAGAGAAGTAAGAGAATTAGATCATTTTTATGCACTCAGATAAGAAGAAAGAAGAAACAAAAAATAAAGATCTTTAGTAAAATAATAAAATAAAATAATGTAATTATAAATATTATCATAGAATTTATAATAAGTTAGCAAGGAGTCCTTGTGCAACTATAGACAATTAGAGTTTGTACCACATTGAATACACCATTACATCTTTTGCAACTATTGTCTATTGTCAATCTTAGATACCATCAAAATTTGGGCCTTGAAAGTCAATTATTAAATATAAGATTAGAAGTAAAATATTTTTAACTTATAATTAATTTTTTTAAAGTACCTAAAATTATTTTTTCTACTATGTAATATAATAAAAATATTACTAAAAATGATATTTAAGATAATCTATATCAATTGTAGAATTTATTTTTTAATAAACATATTTCTTTAACTACGTCTTTTTATTTTTTGTGCAATTAAAAATTTATACTTTTAACCTTAAAAAATAAAAATATTTATGTTAGATGATTTTTAATAAATAAATAATTAGTTATTAAGTTAGATGAGTTTAATAAATAAATAATTAGAATTATTTAAATAATACAAATAATTTTATTTCAAAATTATAAAATTAGCATTTGAAAGTATTGTTGTTATTCATCATTGATACACATGCTTATTATGTTATTTTTTTAGAAAGAAGTTGTTAATTAAAAAATCATAAATTAGCAATAGAATAACATATTTACTTGCTCTAAATCACCTCAACAACTTGAGTTGAAAGTGAATAACAATTACTTTTAAAAATTTGAAGATATTCTTAGACAATTTAATCAAAATCAAACAAAAATATTAAAAAAAACATAAATTAATATACATAAACCTTTTTTTGTGCCATTTATCTAATTCAAATTAGTTTATGATACATATTATATAGATAAATCAAAGAGATAATTTAATAATCATATGTAATATTTGTGCAGTATATAAGATATTAATTTATATAAATTTGATGTATTTACATTAATACAAAGTAAGTATATTATTGAGCAAGAATATTAATGTTACTAGATAATATTAGGGCATCAATGGCAATGAAATATCACTACAAAATAGATGAAAGGCCAAAGCTTGCAATAGATTTCAATAGTAATTAAATTTAGAATAACATTTGGTTTTTAAAACCAACCAAATAAATTGCAATTTGTTCTATCATATTTATCCAAAAAAATAAAAATGTGTAGTGAAATTTTTTCAACTTAGACAATACAATGAATACTTATTTTTTGAAACCAAATTGAAGTAATAAATTCATACTTGCAAAAAGCCAATATTTTAACAAATAAAATTTAAATAAGATAATATTATTTTATTCTTTTGTTGTTGATGTAGAATTTGTAAAATGTTGATTAATTAACCAATATTCATAAGATCTTCCAAACTTTGATAAAAATTCTATTTATAAAATAAAACTTGAAACAAAAAAATTATATGATTTTTCATTGTGATGATGTATACTAAAAAAAATTAAATTATAATAAATAATAATCAAAAGATATTTAAATAGTAAAAAAATAAAAAAAATAAAAAAAAAGTACTATTATTTTACCTAACTAATGTTTGATAGTTATACATACAATCAAAATAAATTATATTAAACTTAAATATCTATCATTTTAAATTCTATGATTTACATAATTAAAAATTGGTGATATTATTTCTTTATTTAGATACTTGACTTAAATCTCTAAAACATATATAGTTGATGTGTTAATGCTTAGGAAAGACACAAGATTGACTTTGAGAATAAAATATTATACTTTATCATCCATTAAGATTTTCTCCTCTTTCCATCTTCTAGGGTTGGAGCAACCTTTGAGGATATTTAAATTCTTATTTTTCTTTCTTTGCTCATCTCTTTTTGTAACACAATTTTTCTTGATTAACACCAACTTTTTTTTTATTAAAGACAAAAAAACCAAAAAGAAAGGGTCGAGTAAGTAAAAAGTAGAAGACTGACACAAAGAAGAATAAACCTTACTGATCTGCAATCTCATTTGATCGAGATGTCAATCTCGTTTCTAGAGCGCAAGAGCCTCATCATCTGATCAAGAAAACAGCGTTGATAAACGCCAAAATCAGGACATGGGATGCTTGGAGGGATGTGGAAGTCAATGAGCACTGCAAAGATTATCATATGCATGAAATAAGAACTTAGAAGCTTAGAAACAACAACCAAACCTGTGACAGAATAGTAATGCACCTCTAGATGGAGCAGACACTGTATCACCTGTTTAGGTTGCTCTAAAATTCTCTGAATCTCGGCAACTAGGAATCTAGGTGCCGAATGGTGTTCTGAGATACGCGAAGCTTTTCCAGGTTGCACCAGCAGCGCTCGCTTTTCCATTCAACCATTAATACACTAAGTCCACTGTGTGACTGCAACAATCATTATGTTTACTTTTACAAATGCTTTACTCCTACATTTCAGGCATTGAATAATAGAGATTTCAAGAACATTTCAGTGAAGAAAAGGACAAGTGGAAGGAAATATGTCTGGTTCTGCAAGATGGCTAGGGAATGACGGAAGGTTACTCATCGGATTCATGCTCAGAAATCTGGAAAGTTGCACCAATTGTAACTTTGCTTGCTGTTCCTTCGACACAAACGCAAGATCATGCAAGAGCATCGACTAGAAGAACTGAGTCTCAGTCATCAAAAGAGAAGCGGATTGATTAAAGCGGGAGAATTTTCTTGTAGAAAGCTTTAGCTCTGTGTATTCTACTGTTGTACTAATGAGCGTATTCTACAGTAATTACACAGAGCTAAAGCTCAACAGTAGAAAGCTTTAGCTCTGTGTAATTACTGTAGCTACAGTATTTAGAGTCTAGTGGAGAAGTACTATTCATTCTCTTATCTTCTCTCTTCTTGTATACGAGACACAACCAGATCAATAGAAGTGTGTGTGAAGCTCTTTCTCCTTAGAAACCCTCTTGTGTATATGACTTACTACTACTCTTGTGTGTGTGTATGACTTTCTACTACTCTTATGTGTGTGTATGACTTACTATTACTCTTGTGTCTTTCTAAACATTCTCAACACGTTATCAGCACTATTCTCTTCTACACACTATCACAATTTTTTGCTCTAGTCTTTGACTCTTTAAACCTGTTGCTACCCTTGCTTAGTGTCTGGGTCATGATCTTATTCTTCTTACTGGCCCTTCACATATTAGTTGCTTGCTTAGAGCACTTGTTCCACTCTCTGCCTTGCTTACTCTCAATACTTGACCCAACCCAACTCCACCCTCTGCTTGCTTCCTGCTCCGTGCTGCGCCCTGAACTGCCGCCAAAGAGACATCGAACAGATGCCGAACTGCTACCGAATCCGCCACTGCCACCTTGTCGCCGTTGCCGCTACTGCCCACCGTCGTCGCCGCCCTAACATTACTACTGCCCCCGTTGCCGCCGTCGTCCCCGCTATCTGCTGATGCCCGCCGCTGTTGTTCGCCGCTACCCGTTGCTGCCACCCTGCGGCTGCCTGCTGCTACCATCTTATTGCTATTCTACTACCTTAATCTACAACTCTTTCTCCTTCAAATATATATATATATATATATATTTGTTTTTTTAAGTTTAAGTTTATCATTTTATTTGACTTTATATTTTAAGGTATGTTTTACTCAACTTTTCTACTTGATTTTGTATTTTTTTTACAAATTTATTTATAATGAGTGCTTCAACATCTTCAATTGCTTCTACTATGGTTCCAACTATTACCAGTGCATCCCAACATTTTCAAGCTCTTTTATTTCCACCATTGATTATAGATGGAAATAATTATCTATTATGGGCAAAAATGGCAAAAGCAAATTTATTTGCAGAACAACTCTCGGATGCCATTATTTTTGAAGAATCTCCTATAACAAGTATTTCTATATCTCTTACTATTTTTGGAAAGTACTTCTTTTCCTTTGTCATCAACTTGTAGCCGCATTACAACATCAATATTTAGAAATGAAAGACCATGCAGAACTTTGGAAGAATCTTAAATCTAAGTTTGATCATCAAAAGACCATTTTTCTTCCACGTGCACATCATAATTGGACACATTTACGTGTCTTGGATTTTCTAAATTTAAATGCTTTCAATAGTGAAATGTATAGTATTGTCTCACAATTACGATTATGTCGACAAAGCATTTCTGAAGAAGAAATGATTGAAAAAACTCTCTCTACATTTCCTCCTGCATCTGCTGTGCTTGCACAACAATACAGGAACATGAAATTTCAGAGTCATTCTGATCTCATGTCCTATCTACTTCTTGCGAAGAAGCAAAATGAGCTACTCTTGCGCAATGCGAAAGCTCGTCCTATTGAAACTACAGTTCCAGAATCTCAAGCACTTAATATTTCAAAGTCTAAGAAGAAATTATATAAACATGGGAAACGTGCT